CCATATTAAGTTTGGCCATGGGTTGCTAGAATCACCATATCAGCGACAAAGTATTGTATTACATATAAGGTATTTGCATTTGAAGATAATGCTTTACAGACCTGTTTTATTTCCTAAGAATAGAGATCAAGTTTTTAATAGTGGGATAAATCGTACGGAATTATACATGTCCAGTCAGAGATCTATCTCAGCATTATGTGTCGATACCGCAATGGAATTGATTAGTATGATAAGTAGGTATAGATCGGCTGACATAACTTTGCTACCTGCTATCTGGTATAATGTTTTTTATATATATACGGCTGCATCAGTTTTGTTAGCTGCAAAACTCCAGCCTAGCTTACAGGATGATTTGGATAAAATAAAGTTTGAATCATCTTGGACAACGATGAGTGAATTACTATCTTCCTACAAGTCACAATCAAAATCTGCAGCTCGCTGTTTAAAGGTTTTAGAGATGATGAACGATAGAATCAAGTTTACTAGTCAAAAGCGTTCTAAAAAACATTACGGCGCTCATCACCAGCCAGAAGAAAGTTACTCTACTAATAGCGAATCCGAAGTCCCTACAGATTTGCTTTACTCGTTGATGTACGATACTGAGGGACCATTTGGAGGTCCTTTCTTCTATAATAATGAATTTGATCGTATTATATAGTAATAAATGCTATCCTGAACATAATTCGAATTAGTTTAGTAGTCATGAAACGTAAATTTCATCATATATTTGAATAGAATATAGTCGCTAGTCTATTTTTCATGAGTTTTACAAGATTTTATATACGACTAACCAGAGTCGTAGATATATTATTTGAATAAATAAATAAATAAATGTCTATATTTCCGTTGATTTATTTCTAAGACCAAAGATATGAGTGATACCCATATTTAAAACACCAAATATTGCCACAAGTCCAACCATTAATCCTGCTGCGCCTGCGTATTTAAGTCTTTCAAACATTAACGCGAAGTAAAAAGGGCCCGTGAAGCCAAAAATCAACCTCACAAGATTCAAATATAAACCAACATCGGGTGCATATTCACTACTATCAATCGCAAATGTTGTTAAAACAGTTGCTACAATATTATTTCCTCCGGCTGCAACTGCAGCCCCTATCAAGGCAGAGATATTCCAGTGGTTTTCTTCTACCTTGTCTAAATAAACACCCCAAACTATCAATCCAACTATCACTGCTAAAAAGCCATTATAAGACACCCATAATCTATCAACCACCACTCTCTTACCTCCTCTTTTCTTGTAACATATTTTCATCCACCAATCAGAAAGTGGCCCAGCAAGTAATTCTCCAATTACAGAACCAACTATAAGGGCAATATAATGCAAACTTAATTGCTGCGCATTAAGATGAAATAACGCACCAAAGGTTTGTGGCATTTCAACCACAAGAACAATATTTGCATAACAAAATGTAACTGTTAAGGCAATCACTGCCATGGAAACATTATAATTCCATGCTTGTTTTAAAGGTCTAAAGAATATTTTCCAATGTAAAGGTTGTTGGCTACGATTATAACATCCAAACCATTTCATGAAACCTCCCTTACTTGGATTTATAGAACGAGCATGCTTATCTCTGATATATACCGTTTCCTCCGCCAATAACCAAAGAACGAATTGAACAAAGTTCATGATTGCAAATGTAAAATAAATCCACCTAGTACCGGCATGGTATTGCACGAAACCCATGAAGAAAGGGCCACCAGGAGTACCTAAAAGAAGTCCAAGAGACCACCAACCATTCTTCTTCCCCCTTTCGTGGGCGAATGCCAAATCAGCTACAACAGAACTACCCGCGGCTGCCCCCGTTGATGCAAAAAAGCAAACTAATATTCTAAGAGCCATTTGCTGTCCATAAGTAGTACAAAATCCACCACCAATATTAAAGGCACAACAGATCAAAGCTGAGAAGGCCAAAAATACACCTCTACCGTACGCATTCATAATTGGAACCCAGAGAAATGGTGCAATACCAGCAATACATATTTGTGCTGAAGTTAAATATGATATTTCAGTCATAGACTTTCCGTATTCTTCTGACATCGCTTCATAAGCAGGGGATATTCCCGCTTGCATGAACGCACAACTAAACGCATGGAAAGCTATTAAGATGATTTCATAATTTTTTTTCCAACTAGGCCAATTAAGTGGATCCAAAGGGTCGTTAGAAGGTAAAGGGTCCAACTGCACTGAACCATGTCTTTTCATGAGAAAATCATGATGTTCAGCAGTAAGAGCTTGTGGCTCGTTCATAATTTCAGCATGTTCCAAGCTTAATTTTTCAATATCACCCGGCGAAATAGATCTTTGTTCACTTGTCATTTTGGTTTCCAATATTGATGAAGTTCATTCACATAAAGTACTTCGGCCACTATTTATATATCCGGATTTGTACTCATTATTTTCTACATATGTTGCGTTGAGGTGGAGTTGAATGCAGAAATCTCATTCTCGGTTTCTCATCCGCGTATCATTTAACGCTTTCTTTTAGAAAAGAAATGGCTATAAATTTTTACATAGTGAAGTAAGGAAGCAGTATCCGCTAATCTACAGCTACCCCACATTTTTTAAGCGACTCCGATAGTTCATGTTTCAAGCATATTTTATAACGCCTAAGATCCACGCAACATACACACATTATGTCTTAGAGGTTAAATAAGCTTCACCCCCGTTTCCTTAAAGATAATATCATCTATTGAAGTAACTCTCATTCATTAACAATAGGAAGTGTATTCCGAAGATATTTTATGTCAGAAAAAATTGATCGCGGACTTGTAATTACTAGGATCAGTCTCCCACTTTTCTCACGCCTGCATTTGTTCGGACTTGGCAAGTCGGTATAGTTCATTAACACACCCATTTATCTAATATTTAAAATCTCGCGAACCTTTCCGAATTACGAAAGATGCAATAGTAATTATGGTAATTCAACCGTTGTGCATCTTGAAGGTAGGATATAAGGATAAAATTTCGGGTCTGAGGGGTTACATAATTAGGGAAGTGAGAAATTATTCAAATTATGATCCAGTCAAATCGATTATAGAAATATTTAGATTTAAACTAAGACTATAGGTTCAATTTCTAATGTGGTAAAATAATGCGTTTGCAAAACCCGCAGAGAAAACCAAAGCTCTTGCAATACTAAGCTTATTCCAATAGTCAATCAAGCCTCCGAAGTTATTATGTATAAGCTCTTGTTCACTTTCCATTCCTGAAAGATTTTTAAGCTTCTTAACTGTTCCCATTATTGCTACAAGGGTAAATGGTATAACCGAGATAGATAAGACTCCACTTACAACTGCTGCTTGTCTAATGGCAGTCCCAGGGTTAGCTGTGTATGCTTCGTACATATAACAAAGAAATCCAACGAATGCAGATCCAGCCATTAATTTAGAGGCATCATCATACATCTTTTCCCACATTTTAACTTGTAGCTTTGGCGGAACTTGTTTTTGGCGAATGATTGGAATAAATATACTAGAAATAGCAATATTACCACCAAAGAAGATGGATTGTGAAACTAATCCAAGTGCAAGTACAGGAGTTATCGACATTTTTTTCAAATAATGTTTTATTTGGTAAAATTTAAAAAAAAAATAGATGTGTCCTTAGAAAGATATATAGCAAGATATTGGATTGCTAAGTTCACTAAGTCTTGAGCGAAAACTTTATGACACAAAAAATGGGAGAGATTAAGAGTCCGAGCTCCGAGCTCAAGCTTCGCTCACACATCTAAATTGTATGTAAAGTGTCCAAAATATTCCATATTGGGCCTGATTACAGGTTGATTCAACCTAGAGCGATCGCCATTCAAAGAATCAATTAATCTACCCATACAAGGGTGAAAACTCCACCTATGGTCGCGCAGTACTTTTAGGTCATTTCTCAATGACTTTAAGACGAATCCATTTGTTCGGGTAGGTGAGAATCTAAAGAAGTGCAACAATCAGATCCATTTATAATGGAGTCTTTAATTTTTAGACTATTTTCGTAAAACAAGTAGAGTTCCATATCCGCATTAAGAATGGCAATATCTTTTTTAAAATCATAAGTAAACAGTATAAATTGAAGTAGTCTCTGAAATACTGGAGTCCACTGTGATCGGAATAACCGGTACTCAGGAATTGGTCTTGAAGCATACTAACTATTTCTTGAAGCATACGCATTAAACATTGGACTATCTCTGCTGGATCCTCAAACATCAGCTTATTTATCCGCTGTAGATTGTCTCTAATTCTACCGTATTCATCAAATTTTGTGATTTCAGAGAAGATTGTAACAAGCAGTAATAAGGTTGAGGGCATTTTGTATGTATAAAACTTATAGAAAGACGAGTCGATGAAACATGCATGATTTCGCTGTAATAAATACAATTTGCAAGCATGATATAATCCAAATGTAGAAACTTTAACAAGAATCTTACTACGTTCTGCTAAAAAAAATAAACCAGTAAGATAAAATACTGTGTCTCTAGTTGGAATATCACATTAATAGCGAAAACCATTCTATTTGGACTTATTTATCAGATTACTAAACGTTATATATTATAATTTGCTAGGCTCGAAAACAACTCTTCCCTTTATTTTTCCCTTGGCTAATTTTTCCATATATTCCGGTAATGACGACATAGATACTACTGAAGAAAGTGGTTTAATTCTACCTTGTGCCACCCAATTCATACATTCTGCTTGCTCCTTGGATGTACCTCCAAAAGAAAAGGTAACTTTAATTTCCCTTCGTGCTAACTCGTAGTTCTTGAAAAATAGCTTAGACCTTCCCAAACCTACAGGCATAATTCTTCCCCTTTGCTTAACATACATCTGACTCGTATCAAACGTCTCTTGTAAGCCACAGAAATCAAAGCAAATATCGAAAGATTCTTTCATATGCTTAGATTCACGAAGGTCCAGATAAAATTCAGAAGCACCATACTCTTTCGCCAATTCTTTAGTTTCACTTTTCACGTCAACAGCCACAATATAACATCCATAGTTGCGAAGAATTTGCAATGCGTTGAGCCCTAATCCCCCAGTTCCAATGACTAATACTTTAGACGTGGGCAGCAAATCTTTCTTGGCCCTATTGATAGCATGAAAAGGTGTTAATACGGCATCAGAAGTAACGGCAGCTTGTTCATACGAAACGCCATCTGGAATTGGGATTAATCCGTTTAAATTTTTCACCAATAAATACTGCTGGAATCCTCCATTAGTACTTAATCCATACGCCTTGGTTGAATTCAAGCAATTATTGTCACTGCCACCACGGCAATTGGCACAAGTTCCACAAAATATTGGAATACTTACAGCTACACGGAGTCCCAATTTATATTGACTAGGCACTCCTTCTTTCCCTACCTCAACAATTTGACCAGCAATCTCATGTCCCATAACGAACTCCTCCGGAACATGCTTTTCTTGCGCATACAAGATATGGAGATCACTCTGGCATAACCCGGCGGCCTTTACCTCTATCAAAACTTCTCCTGGGGCTGGGCGATAAATTGGCCAATTGTCGTAACGTTGTATCTTCTTCAGTCCACGCTTGAATCCATAGGCTATCTGTGTACGTGGTAAAGTCATTTCTTTGCTTATACTTCTTGAAAATTATTGAAAGATCAGGATTTTTCTTAGTAAATCTATGTTCTAAGGAGAAATTGTGTGTGGGGTAATATCGGTCGGTTCGGCACTTAGATTACCATACTTATTGACGATTCATAGTCTACTACCCATCTCCAAATTTAGCATACTAAGCCTCAGAAAAGATCGGAACTTGTTATATTGAATATATGTGACTAACCTAGATCGCTAACTAGGACAATTGGTTTATAGCTTTCTGATAGATAAAGCTATTTCTGATAGATAAAGCTATGTGAAAGGATAAATTTCAAATTGTTCTATTGCTACGCAACTTCAGGAGGCCAATCCTATTCCAATTTGGATTATCCAATGTTTATCATACGAAGGCTAGATAAGGAATTGGCAATATCAGCGATAATGAATAGATAGAACTAAAACGAGGTTTTAGAGTCATTATCATATTAGGAAGTTCCGAAATATGAGTATGTCAAGATCGCGACAAAGCTCATAATTTGTTTATCAATTATTCGTTCCGATATACTTTAAAACTTATATATCTTCTTTAAAATAGGCAAATATAGCATTCTATAAGGCATTGAGCAAGCAATGTCAAAAAATACAAATCAATATACGGAAACAGATAGGCTACTAGAAGCTCGAGGTTGGATCGAGCATGAAGTTCTCGGGAACACTTCTGGGTCCACTACAAGGTCGTTATCTACACTTCTGACCGAGTTCAAGTATATTTTAGTCAATTCTCCCCTTATTGTGATAACTTTATTACTTCAGTTTTCTTTAAACTTTATTTCTATATACTATGTTAAACAATTTGGAGAGAATAAATTAGCCGCAGCTTCGCTATCTAATACAATTTACTATGTAAGCGGATCGGCGATATTTAATGGATTTGCTACCTCATTGGATACTTTATGTAGCCAAGCTTATGGAGCTAAAAACTATTATAATGTCGGATTATATTGTCAAAGGTGCTTTCTATTAATGTTGATTGTATTGGTTCCACTTACTTTCTTCCATTTCAATTGCGCAACTATATTCATCAAGAGATTTTTCATTGACGAGCCGGAAATTATTGAGAGCTATAATGCATACTTAAGGATATTGGCTATAGGTTCACCTGGCCTCGTAATGTTTGAGGTTCTTAAAAGGTTTGTTCAGAGTCAAGGAATTTTCCATCCTCCGGCGATTGCGTTGGTTTGTTTGTTCCCAATCAATCTTGTCTTGAATAGCTTTGCAGTTCCTCGATATGGCTATTTGGCAGTCCCATCATTAATAGCTTTAAATTATTGGTCTATGGGAATTGGTCTTTTGGTTTATATTGCGTACACAAAGAATATAAAAACCCCAAGAAAGTGCTTTCAAAGGATTTCGGATGTTCGTGAATTATTCCATAACGTACGAGGTATGCTAGTTCTATCTTCTAGTGGGATTATAATGGTCGTCAGTGAAGCAATGGCTTTTCAAATATTAACCTTTATGACTTGTAAGTTAAGCATTCACGAAATGGCTGCACAATCGATTGTTTCAACTATTGCAAATGGAGTATTTCAAATGCCATTCGGTGTTGCGATTTGTTGTTGTACCAGGTTGGCTAATATTATAGGCACCGGCAATATTGCGAACTTAAACATCTTGAAAAAAACATATTTTATTATTGCCTTTGGTTTAGGCATTATCAATTTTTTGTTCTTGATTAGTAGTGCTTCATGGTTAGCACAAATATTTAATCCTACTGATGATCCTACAAACGTGGTACGGGTTTTAACTACTAAAGTCTTAATTATCATTGGTATCAATCAATTTGCTGATTGTTTCAATATTATATGTGCCGGAATTCTAAGAGCGCAAGGTAGACAAACGACTGGTTCTATGTTAAGTTTTATCTCATTCTATTTTATAGCTTTACCTTTAGAAGCACTTTTGGCATTCAATTTGAAAATGGGCATTCAAGGGTTATGGGTCGGTCTTGCATTTGGTGTATTTATACTTGCATCATGCGAAGCTTTCTGCGTTATTAATCTGAATTGGTCCAAAATTATCAGTCAATTCTTAGCTAGAGAAAGCAAACCTCTGATTACCTAAATCTGAATGTTCTCGCTTATTTTGTGAGTAATAAAAAATCGATAATAGATAAGGATAAGCACTGCATGTAGAAGTCCGAACCAACTATATAAATAATCGGTGATTTCATATAGCTTCAATTTTTACATGTAAAATTATTCTATCAATTAAATATTGGAAACGAAAAGTTTGGTCACTTATTAATAATAGGAACAGATATGTTCTTACTCAACAAGCGCGATATTTATCTCCAATAAATAACCAAAATGAAATCAAAAAGTGAGTCCGGTATGAAAAAGACTAAGGTGAAGTTCACAAACTTTTTTAGTGCTTCACCAAGATGTAAAAAGGCTTGTATGAATTGCCGTCGAAGAAAGTAAGTATTTTTCTTGTTTAATTCAATTAGCGTTGATTTTAACGTAAATTATTAGAAAAAAATGTGATGGGAATACCCCTGTCTGTGGCACTTGTAAGGTTAAAAAATACATTTCTTGTTGCCAAGAGGTTCAAAATCCAAGCAATGGCTTGCCGATTTTAATACATACTGATAGCTATGAAAATTCAGATTCTGTCGGAAAGGATAGTTTTGTTCAAAGATACAATGAATTGGACAATTTGCCACAAATCGTACAGACAGTTAATTGCGATCCAGAAGATGCAGATTTACTGAATAATGATAACAGACATTTATCCAATGCAAGGTTGAACTTGGAGAAGCATCAGGTAGAAATGTATAGTGAGAATGACAATAATAACTTCAAAGGAAGAGAAAAGATTGGCGAACATGATTATTGTGAGACCATACCCGATGAAGAATGTATTAATGACCTAATAGTACCACAGAGTCTTTACTCGGGGGTTAGTTTTAGTTTGGATAGTCAGGGTTTACATTTTTTGGAGTTTTTCAAAATTAAAGTGTCTAGACTTATAACAGTTGGACCGCAGTCATCCAACTACTTACTAAAAACATTTATTCCCTTAGCAGTAAGTAGTAAGCCCATTCAATATGCTTTAGCTTCATGGGGTGGCATGTTTATAGATGGGAAGCCAAATATTCATAATTACCAGGTTTATATGGTCAAGGCATCGAAGCTTCTTTTAACGGACTATGATATGTCAACTGTAATCAGTAAGAAGGATTTTTTTGTTATTTTAAGTTTCTTTTTAATTGCGATGTCAATTGAAATATGCTCAGCGGATGTCTCCCGATGGAAAGCTTTCCTTGAACAATGTAAAAATTTAATAATAAGACAAGGTGGTATTATCAAAATTTTACATGACTTTCACTTCAGTAATGATATTAAGTGGATGATCTCGAATCTACAATTTCATGACATTTTGTCCTCAAGCACATATTTGAATGGTAGTATATTGATGGATGAATACAAAACTGTTTTTAGAACTGGTAAATTGCTTGAAACTGATAACTATGGAATAGACCCTTATCAGGGGTTTAATCAGCCAATCTATTTGCTTCTTGGAGATATTGTTAGTGAAAATATTATAATTAAACAAAAACAAAATCAATTACAAGCTGATTTACATAAACTTCACGATGACAAATTACAGAACTCATTTTCATTTGACACTCATTGCAATAATTTTAGCTCGAAATTACGAATCACATATTACGAATATGTAAATTCCACTGTAAAGAATTTGAGAGAAGAGGTTGAAAAATGTCAACCACATGAATTACAGATGTCGCAGGATTTATCTCAAAATGAATTAGAAGCTCACCTATCCTTATTTAAGTTAATCAAATATTCATGCGAGCTATTGCTTCTTCAAATAGAAATGGTACCTCCTTCTTCATATAAACTGCAAGCTATATTGATGCATGCCTTGGATCATATAGACAGCATAATTGATACTCGGATGGTTCCATGCCTCGGTTTCCCTTTACTCATGTGTGGGATGGTCGCTTATAAAGAAGAGGATCAGAAAGTCATGAAGAGGCAAATAGAAAAGCTTATGCGAACGTATTTTGTAGGAAATACGGAAAAAATATACTGCATAATTAAGGAAGCTTGGAAAATGAATACGGATGGGAATTTATGTTTTGATTGGGCAGAGATTGCCAACGAAAAAGGATGGCTGTTATTTTCCTGTTAGTATCATTCACTCTTATCTTATTTAATAATAGATAATGTACCTCTCGCTCTAATCAAAATTTATTAGATTACATAAAATCCCGACGTAGAATACGATATCTGATTAGAATTCCGAAATGCAAAAATGGTTGCGGAATTTCCTAACCTGGACATCCTCTTCCTATCAATGTCTTCATACACTGAGAGGTACCACTTATCATGGAATAGATTCCTCATATTAAAGACCCAATTTCGTCCATAAGTAAATTTCCAAATTTTATACCTCACAATCTTTGACATATACGATGCTTAAGGAAATAATTAATAAAACTATTTACACATTAATTGAATACCATTGGCAAATTGTACTAGGTGTACTTCTTCTATCAGTCATTTACTTTTTAGTGGTTCGACCCTTTTTTGCTTCCCCTTTATGAAATATCCCTTGGACCATATTGGAATAGAGTTAGTATATTTCCATCCTTAAATTCTCAAAGGATGCATAAGTGGATTGAAACCGTCTACAATCTCCATTTGAAGTACGGTAAAGTGGTCGTTCTTTCTCCTTATGAGATATCTGTCAATGGATCTTCTCAATACATTAAAGATATATATGTGAAAAACTTTTGCAAGGGTAAATTCTATGATAATTTTCGCAATCATGGCCATGACAATCCATTTTCCGAACTGAAAAATGATGTTCATTTGAAATATAAGAAATGAATACTTATAATAAAACTTCTATCCTTTCACCTCAAAATCCAGCACGAAGTCATTTAGTTAACTCTGTCCTGAAAGTGCTTGGAAGGGTCCGTAAAGAGCAAGAATTAAACAAAAATGGAGCTATTGATGTCTACCCTCTTTTCTCTTGTCTTGCGATGGATGTAATTCTGGCATTCGAGTTAGGGAAAAACAGTGGAACAAATTTATTGGAGCATCTGGAATCAGAAGAGGTTGTTCATTGGTATAGAAAAAAGGATAGTATGGGGTTTTGGACTACATTAATGCCACGGTTTTGGAATTTGGCTGCAACGAAAGAAATCAAGCAGGCTGTTAAAAGTATTGAACAATGGCATATGAATTTGTATTCTCATGCAGAAAAAAATATGAATGAAGAGAAACTATCATATTGTCCTAGCTTAAAAGTTTTGAAACTAAATGGATTTCATGATAAAAATGCTTATAGTTTTATCACTGATAATATATTTGCTGGTCATAGAACAACTGCTATACAATTAACATATTTATGTTATGAAATGTCGAGACCAATAAATAGAAAGTGGCAAAATAATTTGAAGAAAGAATTAGTTGAACACTTTGATGAACCGCTAAATAAGGAATGTATTATACACGATTTTGAAATAGTAGACAAGCTACCTGTTTTGAATGCCCTCTTACAGGAGAATTTACGGGTCCATTCATCAATCCCGGGAGCACAGCCGAGAGTTGTCAATCGTAAATATACAGCGGAGGTGCAAAAAGTAGATAAAATACAAAAGATATTAGTTCCTGAAGGAACGATCATTTCTTGCCTTCCATATGCAATGCATAGACAAGAAGAGGTATTTCCATCTCCAGATAACTTCAAACCTGAAAGATGGTTACGGTATAAAGAAGAGAATGATGCTGATTTTAAAGCACGTATTAGCAAACAAAAAAGATTTATGATGCCATTCGGTAAGGGGATTCGCCTGTGCTTGGGAATGAATCTAGCTATATTAGAAATCAAGTTCACACTTGCTAATTTGTATTGGCATTCTCGATCAGAAATATCTGACAAATGGTGCAAAATAGAAAATAAAACTCTCGGTGGGTGCCCTATAAAGTTGGGGCAGATACCTCAGCATACGAATCACACGGATGAAGAGAAGATGGTAATAGTGGATTCGTATACAACCCGCCCATTGAACGATGAATGCTGGCTAATTTTCTATTTTCGTAACAACTGAAAGAAAATACTATAAGTAGTTTAATCTTTAGTTTTAAAGCTTGTATTTAAATCAAAAATAATGAACTCTATAATTGTATTTTCTACTATCTAATTGTTTACAATATGAAATAAATAATGCGAAATGTAAAGTTAAAATGCTTTTATTTTGTAATATCTAATTGTATTCAATATAAATTATCTGAAATGAATCTTTAGTGAACAGGAGTAATTACCATAAGGCCAAGCAAGCTTCTTGCTACCTCGCTTGCTACCATCGTAGTTATTTCATTCGTGTCGTATGGCGGTGCAACTTCAACCACGTCCGCTCCAATAACTTCTAGACCTTCTAACTGGTCCAAAATTGTTAACAATTCCCTGCTGCTAAATCCACCGGGTTCAACTGTTCCGGTTCCAGGTGCAGAACTTGGGTCGAGTGAATCAATATCTACTGTTATATATACCTTTGAATCACCCACTCTATCCTTTATTCTTTTCACAATTCCAGCAATTCCAATATCATCGATATCTCTGCTCATTATTCTTTCAAAACCTATGGCTGAATCTCTTTGGGTGTCGTTCAAGTTTTCATAATATCCTCGAAGACCAACGTGAACATTTTTGCTCGCTGAAATCAAGCCACGTTTTGCTGCCCAATGGAAAAAGGTACCATGATTCAAAGCAGCATATTCAGTAACGTTTTCATTCATTTGGTACGGGTCAATTGTATCCAAATGACTATCAAAATGGATAACAGCTACTTTCCCCCATTTTTCGTAAACCGCCCGCAAACAACTTAGAGTTACTGTATGGTCGCCTCCTAAGGTTAAAATCCTTGAATATTTCGAAATACCAGGAGTTGTAGGTTCGGTTTTCAATATAGCCCGTTCTGCCCTATAAAGTTGGTCTAAAGCAATTCTATTATCAATAGGGGTCATAGGTGGGTCCCCACAGTCAACGACCTTCCCTTCATTAAAGAGACCAAAGTTCTTCCTGAATGGTGAAATACTCCCCGAAGACATCCTTTTCGTTGCCATTCGGATGCCTAGTGGTCCAAAACGAGAGCCTGGGCGAAAACTCACTCCCGTATCAAAAGTAGCCCCAACAATACCAATATCGAACTTCGTATCTCCTGAAAAGCAATTTGTCAACGGCAAGTGGGCAAAACTTAAAAACCCACTAAGAGGATTACTTACGTATCTATCGCTTCTTCCAGAAATAATATCCGTAATATCATCTTTGTCTGGATATCTAACCTCTCTACTTGCCCACAAAGAGGTCTTTTGCTTTCTAATTGTATTGTCCAAATCATTGTAGTCACCAAAATACACTTGTCCAAAGTATTCATCGAGAAAATTATAATTTTTAGATTCATAATGCAGTACTACCTGTTCTGTGATTACATCCGGAACCGATTCCATTATACTGGGGTCGCCTGTTAATAGTCCGTCAATTTGAAAGCTGGCTTGAGGCAAGATGGAAGCTGCAACAACATTTGTCATAAGATTACACCAAATAAATAGCATTATGAAATCCAATTTAACTAAGCATTATTATCCTTACTTTCATTGAGACAAGACAACCTTTATTAAGGGATCTTTCCTTAATTGGCTCCGCACTTATCCAAATTTCAATTCATCCTATTTAGGCAATTCCGAAAGGTTGCTTGAGGCGATACCGAGATTTCGCAGCTATGCCATCTAATCTTTCATTAAATACTATTATGATGAGTTATCTTCAAAAGTGTCTTTCTAGATAAGAGATGATCGATAAGGATTCTCAACTATAAGAAGACACTAACTAATGAGTGATAATGCCCCCAATTACTATAATAGTAGGTTATTATCTAGCTTCACAAAAAAAAACATAAATTAGTGTCATAGGACAGTTCTCAGGAAAACTAAGGACTTATAAACTAAAACAGGTATATATTGAACTATAAAAGGATGAAAGCAGGAGTTTATGAAGTTCAAACCTCCCCTGTGTCAAGCAGTTCCGATAACATATTAGCTAAGGATGATTCAAATTTGGGAGGAGTCCATAGAAAATTAGAAGGCAGGCATGTACAGTTGACTCAATAGGAGGTGCAATTGGGACTCGATTATTTGTCACTATCGGTACTGGCCTTATAAGAGGTGGCCCGTTGGGTATCCTTTTGGCGTACACTTTCTGGACATTTATCGTAATGTTGGTAACTTCTGCTGTTGGCGAGTTCGTTTGCTATCTACCAGTTTCATCCCATTTGTCTCAATGGCTGGAAGGTGTGTTGACGAGGCCTTAGAATGTTGTGCGGGTTGGAATTTCTTCATTTTACAAGCATTATTCATTCCGTTTGAAATAACGGTTGTTAATGGCATGATCCATTTCTGGAGGGATGATTATAATCCAGCAATAACACTCTGTGTCCAAATTTTCATATATGTTGCCATTAACCTCTTTGCTGTTAAATTCTATGGGGAGATTGAATTTTGGTTATCAATGGGAAAATTAATATTACTTATTGGTTTATTGTTTTTCACATTTATCACGATATCTAGTGGAAATCCTAAACATGATGCCTTTGGATTCCGCAATTGGAATGTTTCTGGCAGTCCTATAGCTGAATATATAAATACAGATAATGTGGGAAAACTCGATGGATTTTTAGGTGCATTGTTGGGTCTGGCCTGTTTTACGATACTAGGTGTAGAATATATATCTATGGTTGCTGCAGAAGCTAAAAATCCAAGAAAAGTGATGCCATTAGCATTTAAGACCGTATTATTCAGGTTGGCATTATTTTATGTCGGGGGCACTTTATGTGTATCAATTTTAGTATCTTATAATGATCCACTCTTCGTCAAAATGACTTCGGAAACCTCCAATGCAGCAGCTTCTCCATACGTGATAGCGATGCAGAACATGGGAATTAAAGCTTACCTGACATTGTCAACGTTCTTATAATTAGTTCCGCCTTTTCTGCGGGAAACTCTTATACCTTCTGTGCAAGTAGAGTATTGTATGGTTTAGCAAAGGGCGGTTATGCACCAAAAGTATTTCGGAAGTGTACTAAACATGGAGTACCTTTATATTGCGTTTTAGTCGCAATTTGCTTTTCTTTATTAAGCTTGATGCAACTAGGATCTGCTAGTTCAAAGCTTTAAGTTACATGTTAAATCTATGCACAGGATGTCTGTTATTAAATTGCGGATTTATGACAATTACTTATATTGGCTTTTATAGGGCATGCAAAGCTCAAAATATCGACAGAAACTCTCTACCATACGCTTCTTGGGGACAACCTTACTCCATTTATGTGGCAGCCTTCTTTATATGGATAGTTGTCATTATCTTGGGATACAGTGTATTTATCCCAGGCATGTGGTCGATGGATAATTTTTTATTTTCGTATGTATTAATATTTATTAATGCTTCCATCTACCTTTTTTGGAAATTTTGCAAAAAAACAAAATTTATCAAGCCTAGTGAAGCAGACTTAATTACTGGAATTAATAAAGAAATTGAAGAGCATGAATATAACTATCATTCACAATATGGACATAACGAAGCAGCAAATAACTGGATTTAAAGATTATTTGGTTGGATATTTTAGTATAGTAGTTATATTTCAAATTAAGATTGATTTTATATTAATTAAGCTCAAGAACAACAATAGCAATAACACCTAAAATAGGTACAAATCCACCTATAAAAAAATTCAAAATATCTTTTTTACTTTGTATAGATCATTTATAATAACCATTTTGAGATTTATCAAAATAAATGTAGAGTTCACAATTTTTATAATATTCAGTAATTGAATAAAATAAAAAAATAAAAAATATGAATACATAACTGATCTAGGTTATTAGAAAATAGTCAAGTGCATATTCGTATATAAAATACGTTTTATTATTTAGCCCCATGAAAGGAGTATTTTGGATTTCGTCAATCCCTATGTATTAATATACTTAATTCAAAATCCTACAAATATAAATCTGTAACACTCAGAATTTATTATCATAATCATAGAACATGACACTTTCTAATTTCAAAAGCTCTTCTTCGTCTGATGAGACAGCTGCAAAACCTTTATGCACCGGTATTTAATCTGAATAGCCAACACTTCAACTCTAGAATCCTCCCCGTATTGAGATTTATCAAAAAGCATTCATATTCATATTCATATTCATATTCTTATCATAAATCATTCCATCACAGATGGTGTCTAGAAAAATTGCTCTGATTGCTCCTAATGAGGTATTGATTCATTTTGTCAGGCGAGAATCGATGTGAAGGGTTTTAAGTTCAACAATTAGCCTTTCATAGTTGGCATACTAAAAGAATAAACTATAAAATATAGCGTGCCCATTTAATTACATCAGATTACTGCTTCCATTCGTAAATGACAAGACTATATTGTAACTTTAGCTGAATTAAGATATTGATTCTGGCTTATCGATCGCCTTCAGAGCTCCGACCCAACGCTGAGTCTGTTGCAGTAGCACCTTAGACAATTTTTTCATTAAAGTTTGGCTGTCCCGAATAATTGGTACATAATAAGGTTAATTTTGGTGGAACAATTCATAGAGTATAAGGACAAAAATATTGAATTCCTACACAATTGATAGCAATCGCACTACAAAATGCTTCCCCACTTTTTTTTTTATAAACAGTTTCCATTCCTAGTCTAATCCTGCTCTTTAACAGTATAATGATCAATGATCAATTTTAATTTTTAAATCACCGGTTCTAAGGCATTCCTATATTTTATAAGTTAGTGTAGAACTTTGGAACACTTTTTTATACAACACCTTTTATTGCAGGCTTATAAAAAAGCATATGGATATACAATAGTTCGAGATATACTAGATGAATAGAAAAAGAATAAGATCGACTTTGGTCTGTGTTAATTGTCGCAAGAAGAAAATGAAATGTGATAGGAATTTGCCTTGTTCTAGCTGTGTAAATGCGGGTATAGACTTGACTTGTGCCTACAGCTCCGCTTCCTATAAAAAACCACAATTTGAAAAGAGTTATGACTTGTATTCTACGGCTTCAACTCAAAATGCATTTGAAACTCCAATAAGTGAAGATAATTCCGCATCCAAAGAGTTATCTGTTAACAAAAGACTTGAAAGTTTGAGACATAAAGTCAAAGAACTTGAAGCTTCAATAGCTGCTGAAACTCCAACTAGAGCTCAACCTTTAACTCCGGTTAACGATCCAGACCACGTAAACCGAAGAAGCCTGAATCCCATAGCTTCAGAGGAGGACACTATTAGTTTTCTTAGCTCGTTCAAACAACCGTCTAGAGATAAATCAAGAAACATTTCTTATCCATACCGCCCGTTGCAATTTATTTTTTTGCTGAAAAGAGATCCGGGGGCTAAAATATTCTTCAATTATCAAATGTCTTTGAAGAATTTCTCTTGGAGGAATTCAAAGTCTAATGTTCCCAAACACAATGCATCATGTGAACAAAAATTAACTAAAAATAACGAGGTTGTTTCCATTGATAAAAAATCTAGAGGATTTTATGGTACCAGCTATATAAGTAAAATAGGTCATAATTATACCTACTCCGATACCATTGAAGCTAAGAATGCTATATCAAATTATGGAATTAATTTAGGGTTGACATTTTGCAATAATGAACTCGGGGATCTAGAACTAATAGATAAAATAAAAGTAGTTTTACCAAAATCAGAAATTGTTTCAAGATTACTAGATATTTTTTTTCCAATCCTTTATCCTTTTTTCCCTTTCATCGATGAAGCTTCTTTCAGGGATGATATTTCTAGAATAGTTAAGGATGATATGGAAGGGTCTAAAAGGGAAATTAATATCCTAATTAGCAAAAAGAGAGACCTAGCAACTATATGCATATTATTAATTGTTTTGAGAATGAGCTACCTATCAATATTTAGTAATTTTATAAATCAAAATGATAGTGTTTTGAACCTGCAAGAGAATTCGGTAGAGGCTTGCGAATCAAAAATCCTAATGATGAACCCCGTCAGTTTGGATTCTATTGAAGTTGCAGAATCATGCCTTAAACAATTTGATTTAACAGCGAATCAAGATCTACTAGTTCTCCAAGCTGCGACTTTTATGAGAATATATCGAAGTTATGCACCAGAAGAAGGAGGTGGATACGCTGATGGTGACCTGCTGGTTTTCAATGGTATTTTAATACATATGGCAAATTCTTTGCATTTAAATAGAGACCCTGACTACTTTTTGGATCGTGAAACAGATGAGAAAACCAAACATTTGCAAAGAAAATTGTGGTTTTTCTTAGTTAATGCAGATATGGAAGATTCAGTAACCTTTGGAACCCCTATATGGACAATGCAAGACAACTATGATACCAAGCTCCCGTTTTATTGTCAAAACAATTCGAACTTGGTAGATATAGACTTTGAGCTGCAAGTGATAAAGGCCTTTGAATATTTGAGTCCTGTAATCACCAATATTCACTCTATTCTCGAGACAATTTTGAAAGTAAAATCGACACCAAAGATATCGTACGTTGCAAAATCTTTGTTTGAGCTTGAAAATTTAATTGATACAAGACTTGGAGAATTAAATGAATACCTTGTTCCTGACGATAGTTTACCAGAATTTTTAAAAATAATGAAACTAAAGCTATTGATACATTGCAAATTGTTTTTATCCTACACTTATTATTGTCTTCATGTATATTATGAAGAAAAAGGGATATTTTATTTGCATTTATTTTATTTAAAAAAACTGGCTGTGATCATATTTCATGACTTAGCAGGCATTTCAACTACTTTATTACATAATTATAGACAATTCTTTGGACCTGCGTTTACATTTATAATGACACCAGTATTAGAAGTATTTTGCAGAATGGAAATTGTAATCAGTCTGATAATATTCATTAGGTTGCAAAGTACAATAAGAACTGTAAACAGTAATCACTTAGAAGCAATTGGGATGAGTGGAGACTCGCGTGATAGATGTATATTAAATTTACAAACTTTATCACACCACTTTAGAAAGCTTGCAGACAAAAGTATAGAAATGGTTTCAATAATGGGCAATAGGTATCGTTTTGCTTGGCGCTCGAAGAAGGCATATACTTATATCCTGAAGCTACTCTTGGAAAGTTCAATATATGATAATAATGAACAAGATACTAGAAAGGCTGCATTGAAGTTCTCCTTGGATGACCAAGAGAATATGATCGAGCTATTGGAGTCATCGATTGATATGAAACATTCAGAGATAGGAAATCACAATACCAATATTGGCCTTGATAAAGAAAATAAATTGGAGTATTTAATGAACGAAAATCAACTTGAAAATTTATGGAACCATTTAGAGTCATTAAGGTCAAAGAAAAACGAGTCTAGTAATTACAAAAATTCACACACAGCCAATAGTATAAACCAAGTTGACAGCACCGATTACAGTAGCGAAAGCATGATGCGTGATATTGATTTTTTCGGAAGCTTTTCATTTGGTGATTCCATTCCAGGCTACAATCCGATGTTTGATATATTTCCAACGAATTCATAATACAAAATGACGTCATGAGAAGATAGATTAACAAATTATTCTACAAAAAAAGAATTATCCTCTTTAGATATCCTCTTTACATATGACTGGATCTAAAAAACCATAGAATTATATTATATAAAATGAACTTTATCGAAAAAACTTTAAACAAAGGCAAATTGTTGGTCGTCATTGAAAATAAAATAAGTAAAAAGTCGTTGAAAGAAAGATAACAGTTTAAGATATCACATGATAGTGAGGTCAAAAGTAGGGCTCGAGGGAGTTACTTCAAGAATTACAGGTCCGAACAAGATGTTAGAATCAGTCAAATTACCCGAATTATCTGAAGTAATAAAAGCATAAGATTGACCAGATACTTTTGCGGGAACTTCAACTTTAATCATTCCATTTTCCATATCTCCTGTCATCGGAAGAACATCCAAACCGCTAACAAATGTGACAGCGAAACTGGAAGGAACATCTCCATCCGCCATAAATGTCACTGTAGAATTTGCAGCGACTGGCATGCCTTGTGTAACATTAAGTCCCTTATATGCCATTACCGGCAACTTAGCGTTAGATGACGGACAATCAGCAATAAATCCTGATGCAATGGAATAAACTGCATTTAGACCCATTGGAGTACCGAAAGGATTGGCCATGGGTACCTCTCCGGCTGCATTACGAGCAGCTGATTGATGGAGTGCCTCAGTAGCCAAAATTGATGCAGCAGCAGTAAGATATTGCTTAGACGTCACCATAGGCGATGCACCCAAATATGCCGACACGCCAACACCTTCAATTGTTGCGGCTAGAGCAACGAAATCCTCTGCAGATTGCATAGGAAATGTGTATGTGCAAGCTTCTACTGGTTTGGCACCAGCAGCTTTAAGGCCAGCCTCAAGATATTGAACGTGCGCTTCTTCATCGTGAGCAATATACTTCAATTGTGAATAAAAATCGGAAGAAAAGTTGGCTTTTGTGAAGTCGTCAACTGACCAGGTTGAAAGAGCCTTCTTGTAGAATGCGTTCTCAAGGTGCTCAAGAGTGAGCGCATATTGCAAAATATCAGCATCAATGTCATCTCTTTTTGCAATGTTAGCTGGCGCGGCGATAGTGGACGCCGCCATTAAACCGCTTAATAAAAATGTAAATCTCATGTTATAGTAATATTAGTTAAACATCCCAAAATGTCTCTGTATCTAATAATTCAAGTCTCTTTTATATGATCTGCAAAAGTATATTAAACGATAGTATAAACAGTATTGCTATTTCGTAACTTGATTAAATCCTACTATATCCAACTATATCCTAAACAGTTAGTTTATATCCGATTATATCCGGCTAAAACCTGTTAAATCCTGGAGGCGCCCCACAAAGCAACTTGTCAGTTAGAAAGCATACCAATTAAGTACAATTGTTATTAGTAAAAACAACAGCTTATGACCATTGGTAATCTAATGTAGTCATTACATTCCATTCTAAGCAATGTACCGCCATGGAGTAAAGGTCAAGTTTGTGATTAGTAAGATATATATTATATAATATATTTCGTAAATACTAACGGGGTACTTCTATATGTAATCTAACTTCTAAAGAAAAATAAACAAATCAATCAGTAAATGTAAAGTACTTTCTGACGGATTTGCAAAAAGGTTTCTTCCATTCCGCTTCGATGTCTTCAATTGGTACTGCTTCTATTTTTGAATTGAGGGTCCCTTCTGCTAAAGCAGCTGTAATCTTGTTGAATACATCAGACATCTCTGAGTTGGTTAACGGTCCTAGGCCACTCCCTAATATCGAAAAATTTGCACTTCGCAAATACGCAGCGGGAACCGAAACTTCAGCACCAGACATTTGGCCTATCTGGATCCAACTTAAAGCTTTCGTTTTATCTTTCCTCGACTTGATGAAGTCGCCCATTAACCTCAATGCAGGTTCACCCCATAAGTAATCCAAAACAACGTCAACTTCGTCTAGCTTTCCGCTTCTAATAATATCTTGGTCATTCTCTTCAAGCGATACAATCTCATCTAATAAAGGCTGATTTTGTTGCAATTCCCTTAAATCTTGACCTGATCTTGCAATACCTATAACTTTTTGGGCCTTAAAGATATTCTTACTGACTTGAATTGCCAACTGACCTGATGTTCCAGTAACACCTAATATTGCAACGATAGGATTCTTAACCAATGTCGACATCCTCGGACCAAGAGCAAAATATGACGACATTACTCCATTTGATAAAGCAGCAACCCTTGCTATTGCTTCCTTTGAAGTATGATTACTTGGAAACTGGTGGATGTTTTCTTTCTTGACATTAACATACTGAGCGTATGATCCCAAGCCAGGCGCAAAAATAGTAAAGTAGACCAAATCATTCTTCCCTTCAATATATCCTACTCCATCAACTCCTACTACTCTATCATCGTCACTATCCACAACAGAATAGTGGTTACCTGATGCTCTTCCTCTGACCAAATGATGATAACCACTTGCTGCAACCTTTACAACAACTTCATCCTCTTTTGCAGGTGGCAATTGAATATCCTTGAGAAAAGGGATTGCCCTCGACTTTGTAGTCACTACCGCCTTTACTAGTCTTGACATTTCTTCTGTTTTATAATTCTTTCTCCTAGGGTATATTAGTTCATAGTAAGCTTTAATGAACCCGACATATTTCACTTTTCCGTTAAGTTAATATACAGTCCATGATAACTGTCCTAAGCAAGCACAGGTACCGGAACGGTGTGCCGATAAACAACGTTCCCTTTTAAAAGCGCTCGATGATACCACGATATCTGCAGTATATGTGTTGGATAATAGTATTTCAGGCCAACTTCAAGTTTAACAAGTGTTTTCTGCTGAATTGCCGTCTAAATATTCTGTAGCCAGTCGCGAAGCCTGTTATTCACATGAGCTGAATGATGTTCTTCTACTAAGCTACTAAGCTGTACTTCGAATCATCTTCCATATTGCATAGTAGGAAAAATGGCAAAAGGAATTATGAAACGTTAGGAAACGCATTGAAATAACCGAATCAAAACGGAACACGACACGTACACATCAAAATCTTGAAGCATATCAGGTACCTATAGTGAACAAAAGGATTGTAATACAGCGTAATAGGTCATTGTGATCAGCACTTGCTTGAGGAGCCAGCGGTTGCTTGCTTAGCCAATGCTATTTTTGTTTCCTTCGCTGTTGCGAAATGCTTATATTGTGAGATGCTTATATTGTGAGAAGTTGTCATACAAACTGCCGTCGATATCGCCAATCACAAGACTGATTGATTTACTATGCGAACGAAATTAGAAAATATACTTTTTCATCATAGGTTTCATAATAATGAAATAGAAGTTTTGTATGAAAGGGTTATTTTGAGGCACTTTCTTCCAACAATTAACAACACTCCAGGACAAATGGGTATGTGGAAAATGGAGTGCGATGACTAAAAAAACGGAGATGGGAAGTAAGATTTACAAGTTAAAATTGGGTACCACGAGAAATAATCTGAACCTGTCCAGAAATTGAAAGTGGGAAGAGAAATATACTGGTAAACCATAAACTACAAAAGTATATCAAACTATCTTGCATTAGATGAAGAAATTCAACTTTTTGTGGAGACACCAGTTGTTTCAAGAGCGATGAATTGAACCACTTATATGATTTATGAACATCCCTTCTGCTAATTTGTTTCTATAATTACAATATATTTGAGGTAATTGTGCCCATACCCAACTTGACAATGATAATATGCTCAAGGAACTATGATATAAACGAAAATTGAGAACAAGTAAACATTTTCTATATTATAAATATGTGCCTTTTATGCGTTCTATTGTCTAATAGTATCTAGAATGTTTCATAAAAAAATTAGAACAGTAAATTTGTTAGATAGTTTTGGTCATATATGACTGTGTTATCAGTATGATTTTGTCATTTCGAAAATATAATTCGAAAGTTTCACAGATTGGTAAGAAAATTTGATGTATTTGACAGAAAGGTAGAATAGCGCTTCTGGTATCTCGAAATCAATTCAGAGTGACATGTGGGTGCGTCCCAATACCTTCAATGTATACAAATCAGTAATGAATTGTACAATTTAATCAATTTTTATCTAAATATCTATTTCAATGTAATTTTTCGACCTATCGATATACCAATCCTCCGTCAACTATAATAGATTGACCTGTGATAAAGTTACTGTTACCACTTGCGAGGAATGAAACTAAACCCGCTACATCGTCTGGCATGATGGTTCCTTTAATTGCTGAAGAGTCATAATGAATGTTCCTAGACTCTTCTTTGGAGATACCTAATTCAACCTCTTTCTCTAGTATATCACGCTGCATTTCAGTTTCCACCGTTCCAGGACAGTATGAATTAACCGTGATCCCATCTGGGGCAAGTTCCTGTGCTGCAGTTTGCGTAAGTGCCTTAACTGCAAATTTGGTAGAACAATACCCACCCTGATTTGGCATCCCTAATTGACCCGATATCGAAGCAGCGTTAATAATTCTTCCTGCTCTATTCTGAACGTCTTTAAATTTCCTAGCAGCTGCTTGCATTCCAAAAAGAACTCCCTTAACATTTACAGCCCATTGTTTCTCCAATTCATCCTCTGTAATATCAGCAAACGAGTTAACGAGACAAATGCCTGCATTATTTACCATAACATCAAAAGTTCCAAACTTTTCATAAGCATTATCAATTGCCTTTTCAATTTGTGATTTTACTCGAACATCTAGAGGATAGAACACAGCATTACCACCGAATTGATTGATTTCCTGTATAGTATCCATTGCAGCCCTATTTTGGTTTTGTAAATCACAGATAACAACGTTCAATCCATCTTTGGCAAGTCTCTTAGAAATAGCTTCACCAATACCTCGTGCGCCACCTGTGATAAGTGCAGTTCTTCTCATATCTATGAACTAATCTTTTAATTGTCAAATACAGAATTTCGCTTCTCAATTTATATATATACTATATACGGAGTCTCTCCTTCCGGCCCCCACCACGGAGTTTGCTAATTCCCTTTCCAGGAGACAAGTAGCAGGCACGCATTTATTTACTATCTGTATATGTTTTTAGAAATAGAAAGATAAAATAAAGGACTTTCAAGGGTGAAATAAAAAGTTTAATGATCAACCGAATTGTTGGAACCCATTTCTCATTATGCAGTGTAGCGCTATTCAACGAAAATACTTGTAGGTACCTATTCCATTTGAATATTAGGGAATGGTTTTAAAGGTAGGCTTTGGTGTGGAATATTTAATCACTTATTCATATGGTTTTGTGTATTTCTACTATCATTATCTTTTATATCATTAAGTCTTATGGTGATTTTTTTCTATAAATTTCTGATTCGTACTGTGATGTAAATTTTCGCTCGGGATAAAAATTAGACGAATATAACGAACGAGGACATAAAGGGATAACTTTATATTTACTCAAATGCAAAGTATGCTAAAGTGCGAGAGGACGCTTCTAGAAGCACTTAAGTATTAGAGGACTCGATAACCACATATTTAAGAATCAGGACAAAATCACGGTTAGAAATCGTATAATCAATTATTTTCAGCAAAGGGTTAATTGAAAATTATCATATTCAACTATTACTCATTTTTCTAATGGATATTTTCATTACACTCTTCTTATTGCTCAAGAGAAAACAACAATTCGAGATTTTTTCAGATCATAGCGTACTTAACATTTGAACTTTGTTTGAACCCTTTGTTTATGTCCGGCCATCAAAAAATTAAACAGATATGCGATCGCTTCTATTCAACTTCTCAATTATATCTTATAATAATCTTTCTTATTCTAAATAAACATGTGACAATTACTTCCATGTTGTTAACCAGGTTCTCTTTATTTCAGCCTGTTTTTCATGGACACTAGTTTTACAGCTACAAGAAAATATTGAGGTAATATAGATATCGCGTGGAACTATAATTGTGGTGGGCAAGCAACTTCGGCTTACTTCAGCTTATGCCGCTCGTTTCATTGTATACTTTTATCTAATGTCATGCAGTTTACCAAATCATAAATAAATAATGTTGGAAATGCCCGGATTTTCAGTAATATCTCTTATTTTTTAAGTTATTTCGAGTACGTCATAAGTTAAATGGCCTTTTAACATATCGTTAATAAGAGGTCAAAGTGATTTTGATCAGTTTAGATTAAAATTCGTTACAATAAAAACTTGATTTGATTTACAGCTGTGATCATTTTCAATGATATCCGCTTTGTAACCAGTTGTAAAAGCACTATAAGATAACGCCTATTAAATATATGTTCTCGCAACTCGCAATGTCTGAATATGCATTGATACCTTTATTCTGCTCGTTGCATATCTGATTAAGTATCCATCTCACACAATTAATTATTTTCCAGATTTGTAGTTCATGACTGTCCAAAACGAACGTATGAATCTAGGTTAACATGTCTCTAGGTGAAAATTCACGAGGCTTTACTACGAGATACACAATGCATGTGGCGAGGCAGCATAATTGACAAATCAAATCTATTTGAAGTTATAGCACTATTCTACGAATCCTTACAGATGCGTAACGATATACATACTCACGACCAGGATTAAAGATGATGATAATATTTTTCTGTAAGTATAACTTTTCCTACCAATAGTTTGTCTAAAACCACCTCTGAAATGAAAGAGTTCCAAGAAATATGCAAGTTTTTTTAAAAATTCGCGATTTCGTAGGCAGCGATATCTCCGATTGGATTATTATCAATATAACGAGGTCTATACCGCAAAGGAATACAACATGATGCATTATGTGCAAATTTTATAACTTGTTGTTGTGTGCATAATCGGCTCATTTCGGTTGAAGGCATTTTTTTTTTGTCAAGAACAAAGCACTTCGCTGCAGATAACCTTTTAGTACATTTTATTTACTATTGTTCCAATTATCTGATTCATCAGTAAACCCGCAGCCGGTGATTTACGAACTTCATGCGTCTTTGACAAATTCGCTCTCACTAAAAGTTTTCATGTTCAATCGTTCAAATACGTATAAATAGTCTCTTATTCTCCTTCTGTTATGTATTCAATTAGTATCTATCAACAAGAAGTCAGAAGAAAACACACTTTCGTTTATACATAATGCTTTCTGTCAATTTGTTGGCTACTGCTGTAGTTGGTTTTTATGCTTCGTCAATCAATGCTGCTGATTACGAAACCTATCCAACTGTTGCACACACAGCGTCGATCAATGGTTTCGCTGATAAAATTTACGATAGACTTCCAGAATGTGCTAAGCCATGTGTCCAGCAAGACACTGGTAGCACACCATGTCCATACTGGGACCCAGGTTGTCTTTGTGTTATGTCAAACTGGGGTGGTCCAGTTGCCGAATGTATTGCTGAAAATTGTCAGGGTGATAATGTTGTCACTGCTACAAGTTTAGCTACCTCTATCTGTTCCAGTGCAGGTGTTCCCAGTCCATTTTGGTTCATACCAGCTTCAGCTTCAGCGGATTTACTGGAGGCTGCAGAAGCTACTATTACTGATGACGCTTCTTCATCCGCTGCTGAAACTACCGAGCCAGCTTCTTCAGTACCAGCTACCAGCGAACCAGCTTCTTCAGAACCAGTTACCAGCGAACCAGCTTCATCAGAACCAGCTACCACTGATGCACCTACCTCCGATACAGCTGAAAACCCATACGCAACTTTCCCAACTGTCGTACGTACTGCCTCAATTAACGGGTTTGCTGATAAGATTTATAGTCAACTCCCAGAATGTGCTAAGCCATGTGTCGAAGAAGATACTGGTAGCACACCATGTCCATACTGGGACCCAGGTTGTCTTTGTGTTATGTCAAACTGGGGTGGTCCAGTTGCCGAATGTATTGCTGAAAATTGTCAGGGTGATAATGTTGTCACTGCTACAAGTTTAGCTACCTCTGTCTGTTCCAGTGCAGGTGTTCCAAGTCCTTATTGGTATATTCCAGCTTCTGCTTCTGCTGACTTACTGCAAGCTGCTGCTGCTGCCACTGTTACTGGCACTGCTACTTCATCAGAGCCAGCCACCACTGAGCCAACTTCTTCCGCTTCAGCAACTACTGATGCACCTACCTCCGATACAGCTGAAGCAATTTCTTCTTCGGGTTCTTCTGTACCTGCAACTGATTCTGATGGAAGACACATTAATGCCACTTCGACAATTACAAATAAGTCAGTACCTACCGCTACAGTTTGCTCTTCCTGCACCAAGAACATGCCAAACCTCAATTCCACCAAATCTAATGGCTTAGTTGTCGTTCAAACAGGTGAAATTTTAACATCCTCGGATTCCAATGCGGATTACACTTCTACTTCTGTTATTGGTAGTGAAGCTACCGTGTTTGAAGTATCTACTACTGTTGTAATAGTAACATCCTGTGAATCAAACAAATGTTCGGATATCTCAAAAACAACAGGCCTTACAGTTGTCACGGAAGAACACACATCTTATACTACCTATTGCCCTCTTCCAACAGAATCAGAAAGTATTGTTGCAACCATCGTTTCATGTGACAAAAATACTTGTAAGTCAATTCCAACTACAATCACAAGCGAATATGATACGCAACCTAAAATTTCAAAACATGCAAGTAGCCATGTAACAGAAACTGATATCAGCCCGGCCACAACTTCAGGTGCTAATGAATTATTGTCGTCTTCTAGTTCTACTGCAATCGCAAATGAATCATCAGATTCAGTTTCTGACATAACTAATAACCTCAACCATGATGTTACATCTTCCACCTCAGTTTCTCCGGACTTCCAATCAGGTTCCCCTATTTCAGTTTCCAGTGAGTACAGCTCATCTTCAATTTCTAATGCATTTGAAACCGCTACCCTCAATCCAAGTGTGTTCGAAGGTTCAGCACCTGTTAACAAACAATGGAGTTTATCTTCCTTAATAGCTTTATTTGCTATTGCTCTCTTCTAATTTCTTCACAATATTTTAATATATATCTTCGTTTACGCTAATCATTATGGACAATAGATTTGCGGTGAATACGACTTTAAATATGATAATATATGTTTGTTCTATAATTCTATCTTTCAAAGCAAAATGCAACAATATTCTAGAATCTGAAAGAGTTTATAAAATTATCCACGAAGATTTTGTCATCTGAACTTCGCATTTATTAGGAACATCATGGTATTGATTATATTTTTGTATCTTTAATATATAATCCCTATAAAATAAGACCGGCTAAAATCATCAAAAAATTGAGAATCCAGTTCTATAAGGTAAATATTCATGGAAAAATGTTGAAAAATTGGAATATAAATAAGTACCTTATGGTTTCGAGAAAGATAGAAAGAGAATTAGGAAATCATAGACACATTAGTCGGTACATGCAGAATTTAATTACTATCGTCCCCAGTATTTTCAACAGATAATTTGCCAAGGGTTACGCGGTCTCATATTTCCGAAAAAATTTGATCCGTGACATCATATTTAACTTGACTAATAATTACAAACAACATTAACATCATACTGTTTTCATATCTCTTGCAGAATGAACGGAAACGATATATTTCCCCGTAACCACAACTTTGATATTTCTAAGAGTACGAAAAGTAAGAGAACTAGAGTTCCGACGTCATGTTTGTTGTGCAGAAAAAGAAAAATAAAATGCGATAGAAAAAGACCCTATTGTAGCGGGTGTCTAACTAACAATACATCACATCTATGTAAGTACGAGATAAAGCCGTGGTCAAAGGAGTATTTTGATGCTAGTAATAAAGAACCATGGCAAGAAGAAATCGAGGATTTGAGATTAAAAATAAAATCGCTCGAGAAGAATATTGAACAACAACAGTTGGAACTAGACACCAGGTCGGGGACAAGTCTCCATTCTTCGGTGACATCTGTCAATAGCAGTAATAATGATTATAGGAAAGGTCTGGATGAAAGGGATACAACCATATTAGATTTGGCAGAAAGATTCGATTGCCTTATCGTAAAAGACCTGAGATTAAGATATTTTGGTCCCACTTCATCCGTTGCTCTTATACGAAATGATAAACATGCTTCTGCAATATATTCCAAATATTTTAAAGGACAACACAAGAAATTCAATGAGATTACTGCTAACCATGGAGACTTAAGAACTAAAAAATATAATGATGATGGAGAAAAGGGCGACTGTTCCTCATATAGGCCATCATTTGTTGGTGATTTCCCTGAGCTTCCTTCTTCTGAAGTAATAGATTTACTCCTTCGTCGGTTTTTCGACTTTTGTTATCCGCTATTTCCTTTCATTGATGAGAAAAGTTTTAGAGCAGACATTAAAGTTATTTTGACAAAAGAGTACAATAGCATCAATTTAAACATTCATCAAGAAAGTACTTTTGCATTATTTCTAGTAATGTTAAGATATGCTTATATAACTTTGCCGTTTAAAGACAACTCAAATCGATTATCAGAGACTAAATTTGATTTGGCTCAACAAATTGCGCTTTCGGAAACAAATATACCTCCGTCTTATGTCGAATATGCAAAGCATCTCATAATATCGCCAAACGGTCTTGGAAAAATGACTCTTAGAACAATTCAAGCTGGTTTGTTTTTGAGAGTTTATAAAAAGCAATGCCCTGAAGATGATGACATAGCAACAGACAATGAGATATTGTTGGGGATTCTCATTCAAATGGCTAGATTTCATGGTTTTCATAGAAATGCCGTCGGATTAGATAAAGACCTTGTGAATGCGGATGATATACAATTATGGAAGAAGATTTGGACCCAGTTATTATACCTTGATGCAATGCAAAGTTTTGCCAATGGAACACCTCTATTGGTGTCTGATGATGAGTTCAATAATCAGAGATCTTTTATTACGTATAGTGATTGCTTTAATCTTCAAAGTGAAGAAACTTTAATAACAAGGCAATTTGCATTATCATATATGGCAACAAAGATGACAAGAAAGTTCTTACTTATTACAAGTCAAATGTATAGAAGTTTCAAAAGATCGGCTTTAGATGAATTGGTTGTTGAGATGAATGAATTGATTTATAACAAAATGAGGACTTTCGACCAATTGTGCAATTCAGATGGTAACATAATTGACGAAAACATCACTGACCGGGCACAAGAGTTTATGCTAAGAATGGAATTATTTCTTAAATCATATACCTTGAATTATATATTATTTTTGACTGCAAATGAAGAGAGAGAAGCAGACTTAAGAAAATCTTACTTGATGTTTGCTTTAGAAAAAGCGTTGATTATATCAAAATTAGCATTTGAATTTGCAGAAAATACTTCTTCGAAATTTGGTTCTGAACTTGAAACTTTTATTGCTCCTTACATTTGGACCCCATTGTACAAAATATTGCCAACTTTGTACAGTATTTTGTTGAGAGTTAATGCAGGTGAATTTTCTCTAATCGAATTCTCAAGATGCTTTAAATCGCCAGATTCTGCAGGGCTAATTGCATGGGCTCAATTGAACGAAAGTGAAAACAAATGTGTTAAAAATCTCGTAGCGATATATGAGCAATTAAACTCAAAATGCTTACATTTAAGTTTTAAATTTTTCCATTGTTATCGTGTTTGTTTTACCTTCAAAATTATTTTTAATTACTTACAAGAATTTTACCCACAGCTATTAACCCCTAGTGACGGTATGAAAGGAAATGCAGGAGATATACAAACTAAGGAGGTCGGTATAAGTTCAATGCAGTGGGATGATTTCTGGAATAATAAACTAGATCCAGATCGTATACTCGACTTCGACTATTTCTACACTAATATGCAATATAATTTGGATCCCTTTTTAAATGATTTGAATACAAGCTTTAATATTTTTGAAAATTGATTCAGATCGTATAAAAATTGCAATAATTCTATATTTAATAGATTATGCAGATTGAAATGTCTAGATTCGAATTCACTTTTATGCCATATTTATTTTAGCTTCAGAGAAATTCAATCCACAAAATCAGAGATAAGCAATGGTTTTAGGATCACTAAACCTAGGAATGTTGATATGAAACGCTACATAAGATTCATCGGAACGATTCGAGTGCAATAACACTTCGGGTTGGCTGAAGCTCTAAATTTAGTTTGAAATTTGCATCTGAAAAACAGTTTTTAAATTGATTTATTTAATTTACAATTTTTTCTGGTTATACAATGTGATTTCCACGCGCTTCTCATGATGTTATTGGTGATTTACTAATATACAGTGTAAATAAATAGTTACGTTTATGGGCCATTGCAAAACGACTTAGAATTTCGCTTGTAAAATATCTTGCCAGATTTATTAGATCTCTGGTTTATGATTTCATCCATGGGTGCATAAATTTCTGGGATCAAGTTAGTCTTATTGGATATCTTCTTTATATTCCTCTTCCTCTGCACCCTGAGCGCCGCTACTTTCTTTTGGTAATTTCTTGTTAGTCGTAAATAAGCAACTAATAAATGCTAAAACAGAAAAACCGATAGCCATGTAGTATACATTTCGGATAGCATGCATGCATTGTACTTTAACAAAATGTTGCGTCACTGGAGAAAGTTTTTGAATTAGTTCAGTAGAATCGACCAAGACTCCAGCATCAATGTTTTTCAATTCTGATAAAATATCTGGATTAGTCTGATGGGCTATTGCTTTCTTATAAACAGATTTAAAGGTTGAAGAATAAACTGCATCTGCCAAATCAGCTCCAATAGTACCTCCAAGACTTTTGCAAAACGAAGCAAATGTAGTTGAAAGAATGGTGCCACCTGGAGTTTTTGGGGCAGCTAATTGCAGCAAAATGAGAACTGCTTGCATTTGAAAACCGCATGAAACACCAACAACAATTAATAACCCTATTTTTTGAGAACTTGGAGAATAAACGTCCAATAAAGTAAGTAAACCACAACCAATAGGTCCCAATATACCAGCAGCAACCGAAAACGGCTTTACATATCCTGATCCGTACATTAATCCTCCACCAGCAAGAGAACTAATCACAACCGGAATAATAAGAGCTAGCAATTGCACACCTGATTGCCATGCACCAGCCCCATGTATGACTTGGAAATAAATAGAAACATACAATATAACTGTCATGAAATAACCAAACATAGCAAAAAATGTAACAGCAGATGCAATGACTTGCGGTATAGCAATGATTTCATATGGAATGATTTGATTTTTAGAAAACTTGAAGTTCCAGATGATAAAAAGAATGATTACAAAACCTCCCACTACAAAACAACTAATTACACCAGCAGAATTCCAACTGTAATCTGAACCAGCACCAAGAGTTAAAGCCAAGAGAAATACCACAAGGCCACCAGTTAATAATACGGTTCCAATATAATCAATTATTTTGAGTTTTCTCTCAAATTACCTTTAGGTTTTGGCGGATTGAAGGAAAAAAAAAAAAAAACTAAAGCAAGACTTCCAGCGGGCAAATTGATATAGAAACACCATCTCCAAGTTACTTGGTTTGTGAAAGCACCACCAATTAATGGACCTAAAACTGAAGCCACCGCAAATGTAGAAGCAAGAATCGCTATACCGATAGGACGTTTTTCAATTGGAATTACCTCTGAAATGATAACGAATACCAAGGATTGAATCCCACCACCACCAATACCGGCAATGACCCTTCCACCAATTAATAAGCCCATGCTATTGGATAAGCCACAAATTAATGATCCTATTTCAAATAGAATTATCGCTACGTACATAGTAACTTTACGTCCCATTATGATTGAAATTTTACCCCAGGTAGCAGTCAAAACTGCCATCGATAATAAAAAGCCTGAAGCTAACCAGCCAATTTTATCAAATGAGTTGAATTCATTACCAACTTTAGTGAGTAAAGTGACAACAATTGTTTGATCTAATGCAACAAGGAATAAGCACAAGAAAATCGAAATCATACACAATACTAATTTAATTCCATGCAAATACTGATCTTCTCTTCTAGTTCCGTCTCCTGCATCACTTTCTATAAATTTCTTTCGTTTCCTATTGTCTGTTCTGTTTGTTTGACTTTCAATTTCATTTAATGGTACTGGTAGGCCATTGTTCTCAGAAATCCGTGACGTATCACTCATAGTTCTACTTGCCTTACTATTCATATAATGTTTTGAACTATGGACACTAGTTGTAATTGCTAGATTGTAATTTTCATCTCTAATTTTAAGATTCACAGCATCATTTATATGCGATTGCAAAATTTAGCTTAACTTTCAATAGTGCTCCGTGTCTCCGTTTTCCGTTTCCGTTTTCCGTCTCTTTTCTAGGTCACATGACTAAATATAATAATAATTTAAAATTATACATACCATGCAGTACAGTACTTGTATCTATATCCCAGCAGAAGTAATGATTGGAACCCTGGATCAATTGCAATATTTATTGCCTTAGTTTAAACTCGTTGGAACCGCATGTTTTGATATCATGGTAAGGGCCAAGCATTATCTAAATCTGGAAACTTTTGGGCTGAATTTTCATCATCAATAATTTTGTTCATATCATATTTCAGATTAGTTTCGTAAGGGCTATTAATATCTAAATCATTAATACCGCCGTCAGGGGCATGAAAGCCATTGTTATCCAGATTTTTCAAGAGGGTCTGAAGCCAGAAAATATCAATTTGGTCATTTTGAATAAAGCAGTCGAGACCATCTTTATTAGGCATATCTTCCAAACCCATGCTTAAGTAGGATGCTCGCTCTGCAGGATTTAATATGTTAAACGTTGAATTTGTTGCATCACTATCTTGATCTTCCTCTCTTGCCAGAACTTGCGCACGACTGTTTCCGAGAATCTTAATTAGATCGTCTAGCACATCAGCTGTGTAGTTTGCTTCTAATTTTTTAGAATTTTCTTTGATGCTTAAATAAAAATATTCACTTGTAAGAACGTCTAAGAAAAAAGAATGAGCTTTTTCTATTTTCCAGGCATAGTAGTATTTACTTTTCAATTTAGAAACCATTTTAAGGTTCCTAGTATAGATATTCTCAAGGCATTTCGAGATTTTACACAATTTGTTGAAATTAGACTTGTATTCGTTATCTTTTTCCATATTTTCACTATGATTTTCATAATCTTCAGTATTGAAAAGAAAAGATTTAATTCTAATGGTAATGGAAGTAATGGAAATAAATGATTTATGAATAGCCAGCTCGAATATCGGAGTTATAAATAAGTCAGCGGAGCCTCTGAATATGGAATGACTCTTTGTTGAAAATTCAGAGCAAAGTGGAATCAAATCACAGAAGATGATAACCAAAATTTTCTTTAAGTAATAAAACGTAAGATCAAAATTTTTGGATGCTTCATAAAAATTATAGAAATGAAAGATTATTGAAAGAAGGAAAGTCCTGAAAGCGAGATAATCTTTAATTTCTAAAATACGACGATAATCCTCTTTTAGCGAGTTTTTATTAGTGGAAATATAAGAATTTATCGTTCCATGTTCTTGAATGAAATCAGTTTCTATAATATCAAGCTTTTCTGACAAGTCGAAGCTGTTTGTATCACCAACTTTTGAAATTAACAGTAGTACATCTGAAAGTGGTGAATATGTTCTTTCAAATCTCGAAAAAGTCAATAATGATGCCTTCTCCATTTCAATGTCAGAAATATTCTCATTTCCTGCTTCATAAGTTGGTAATCTAGTATCATATGAATTTTTTTGAATCTTTAATGGGATTCCTAAAGTCAATGCAGACTCAATATCTATCATTAATAAGTGATACCAAATTTTTCTACCCAAATGGTTCATTTTCTCATTATGAGACGGCGAAGGTAAATTATCAGGTTCCCTGTGTAGGCCCACTGAGTAAGCCATCTGAATTATCGTAGCTTCACAAACTTGAATATCTCCTGTAGTTGTTCCGTCGCCATTTTCAGGTCCATAAATATGATACAACCTCATGAAAAGAGCCAATTGAATTACACTTATGTTTATCTTTTTTGAAGTATTAAACTGATCAAGGCATATTTGGGCAACATCGATTGTTTCCATACGAATGGGATTGTCAACCAAATACTTCATTTCATCGAAATTAATAGTAGAACCATTCGCATTTAAATTTATCACATCCACCGATGAGTTGTTGGCAAATAAACTCAAGTAACCTAACCTTAAAATAATTAATAGCAACCCTAAACGAGCAAAATCTAATTTTTTTTCGACCTTAAGGGTATTTATAAAATGCTCATCAAAGCTTTCAGAACCAATAATGTTCGATATATCTTTTTTGAAGAGAAACTCGTCAAAAAAAGGAAACATATGATACAAATGATCGAAGAATCTTTTTATTAGTTTCCATATGACTCTTTGGTTTGGTAATGAAAGTTTGATTCTCTGAATAAGGTTTAAGCATCCGTCTGCTTTTGCACAATCAAACAGGAGACTAATCTCCTCCTTCGCCTTTTTCTGTAGGGATACATGATCAGTAAGTTTAGTTCTACTAGGAAGATAGTCATCTCCATCTTCTAAATTATTATCTTTGTTCAAAGGAATATTTTTACAACTTTCAGCAGCCCTATCTCTAAAATTTCCCTCAGAATCTTCTTTTCTGTTCCTATTGTGAAGTAGAGAATCTTTTAATTTTCTAATATACCTTTTCTTAGTATCCATGAAATCTGATAAAAGTCTCAATCCCGCATCCTTTTGTTGTAATGAAATCCACGATAAAGGACCAAGGTTGAAATGATTTGAGTTTGTTAGATAGTCAGTGGATGCGTATACATTATGAAAATTTATTGCATCCTCATACTTAGCTATAGGATTGTATCCAACAAAATATTTCAAATCTGAGGAATTGTTAACCTTTAGTTGGTTAGGCAATGCTGAGCTTAATTTCTGTTCAAGAGGCATAGTTGAAGGTACATTGGAGAACATAACCTTTCTTTCAAGCCTACTTATTTCGCTTTTCAAGTTTTGGAACTCATCGTGTAGTTCAGTAGCAGAGCATCTACCAGAAGAACCAAGGTTACTTTTAATTGGTTGTTTCTCGTTACCACTAGATGTACCAATACAATTGGGATTTTTATATTTCAAACAACTTGAACAAGGATTACCTTTATCACATTTAACTTTCCTTCTTTTACAGAAGTCACAAGCAGAGTTCTGTTTCTTTCTTTTTCTGGAAGTTTCATTGACAGCCATATCTATTAAGAAGCTATTTGTAACGCCAGCCAGAAGAAACTATCATTAAGGTTATTTCTTTGTATAATTTGAATCAAAGAGTACCACTTCTATTTACTTTCGAAGTACAGGTAAACTAATTAATTTCTATTTCTCACTAAATTAGAACAATAATATTCCCTTGGCTCGTATTATTTCTGCATTTTATTCACAAAACATTTGTGAGAATTAATCAGTAAAACAATATAACGAATTACAGTTTGGTTTTGATAGAACTTGAGATAACAATTGTAGAATGATCGAAACCAAGATCTACTAGAACAGTAATGTCGCAAAAGCTTTGAGAATAACTTGGGAATTTTATGCTTAGCAGGATCTTGCTTGATCACATTAATAATATAATTTGGAGAACATGTATTACCAAACCAAACGAAAACATTTATTTTTATTAAGCCTGAGAGCGAGAGTAATAGTTTATAAACTACCAATATATATATACTAGTTAAGGGGTCATTATTTGTCTTTCATATCTACATTAAGAGTCTACAAACTATTATAGAAACCATGTAATATTATTTAAACAACACAAATTTACGATTTTCGCAGTCTAAAAACTTAACTTAGATTAAGTGGATCAATAGAAAGATACTCTTCAATTGTGGTAAGCTTTCCATGTACTTGCTTTGATGTCCATTCTACAGCTTCATCTGTCAGAGGACCGTAATACCCATAATCTCTAAAGTATTTGAACATTTGAATTAATTCATCAGCAAATGTGGGTGGTAAGAACCCATGAAAAATCTCCTCTGGAACTTGCTTATAATTTACTATCTTTCCGGTAACAGCGCTCAATGTTTGCGTTACTTCTTCTACCGAGTAAAGTTTGACGGCCGCACAGAACACCTTTCCTTCATATTTGTCTGGTTCTTCAAATATAGGGGCGATAAATTTACCAGTATCGCCAACAATATCGATAAATGGAATTTTTGTTTCAGGTTTAAAGATATTTGAAATTACATACGTTCCATCTCCACTAGGGTGTGGTTTCATCTGGGTATGGAAATTTTGCATGAATGATCCCGGTGCATAGAATGCGCTTCTAATTGGGAGGTTCCGAATGTATTCTTCAATCTCAGCTTTTACATCAAACAGAGTCACACATTTTAACTCACCACCTGTAATTTTAGTCACATTCGTACTAGTACTCCAGATAAGGTATTGAACGCCTGCAGCAACTGCTTCATCGGCAATGGCCTGTTGAACTCCCTTTCTTTTGCATTATAATCATAGATAGTATTTGTTTGTCCAAAAACAGATGAGCATCCTTAAACGCATTCTTCAAAGACTCGGGTGCATTGATATCTGCTTTAACGATTTCAACGCCTTTCCGTATAAGCGCTTGAGCCAGTGAGGTCGAAGGATCTCGTGAAACCCCTCGAAGCTTGTACAGCTTAGCTAAGACAGAGTCATTAAGAATATAAGAAATAATGGACTCGCCTTGTTGGCCTGTAGCTCCTAAGATAACTAAAAGTTTGCTCATGTTGATAGTATCGTTTATGTAATCCTGTTTGCAAGAATAAAAATTATATTAGGTATTCCTTTAAATTTATATCATTTTGAATTAGCTACAAGGTTTTAGATCACAAATAATTATTCGGCCGAGTTTCTTCATTTAGACTTATCATATAACTTTCAATTACCTTATACTACTCTTTAATTGCTCTTCTACGGCAAGATTTTAACGAACAGTAGAAAAATGAAAAGTTCGGTCGAACTTTCGTATTAGGAATATTTCACAAAGGTTGGAGGGAACCGAATCATTGAACTATCGTGATAACTAACTGTTCATACTTAGAGTTTCTGGAAGCAAAAAAAATATTTCTCAAGATCTTGTTGATCCTTGTTATCTGAAACAATAAATATGTTATATCTATTGTGTACAATACTACTTAAGGACACACTCATGGTTATAACGTGCAACTGGTAGAATTATAAAAAAGAATGAGCATGCGAAGACCTGCATTGACTTGTAGGAGATGCAGAGAAAGGAAGGGTCTGTGTGATAGAAGGAAACCGTGTTTTGCATCTATCCGAAGCAAGAAACCTCATTTATGTGCATACGATGCTAATAATGAGCTTAAGCAGATCAAGGGGAACTCTTCATTTCATATTTTCAAACTTCCGGATGATTCCGATAGTATCTTATTGGATAATTCTCTATCTGATATAAATTGAAATTAAATGGAAAGAACTTACTTAATTCCAGGCAGGAAAAAATCAACTTCTATAAAGAGTTCACATCTAGTCTCAGTGATGAACCCATAGAAATCGAATACGGCCCCTTAGCCTGGCCGTTTACTGAAAGAAAGGAACCCTAATTGCATATGATGCTGAAATATATTCGTGAATCGAAAATGACGAATGATATGGATCTGAATATACTGGTGTTTTTGCAAATATTGGAACTGAAAACTATAGCTAACGAAATATCTGAATATCATGATGAAATAGCAAAGACTCTTCACCTAAGATTAAGACGATTTTACCGAGCAAGAAGATCATATGGAACCTTATTTCATTATTTTTCAAGCATGTTTATTCATTTATGCCCATCTTGGACGAGATTTCATTTCGGATGGAAATGACCAGAATCATTGGGCCTGAAGAATTTGGAGATGATACTATTATTCCCATCTATCCAAAAAGTTGATGATTTTGTTTACATTGGAATTTTGCTCATAATACTACGCACATGCTATTTACAAGATGATAAAGGTAATGTTAGTTGTATTTCAGATGGTGTACAAATAGGGCCTGAATATATCAATTTAGCTAATATGTGCTTGAGGCGCTATGATATCATAGGTAAAGTTAGTTTAACGGTTTTACAATGTGCTTTTTGTTTGAGGCTTTACCAAAAACTTGCGCCAACATTTAACAACAGTTTTAATAATAAAAATACAACAGTATATAACGGCATACTTGTCCATATGGCTTATTCGTTGTGATTGAACAAGGAGGTTCTGTTGCCTGACCAGCGTATGAAAAATTTGAGGCAAAAAATATGGCATCTTTTGGTTTTATTTGATATTATAGAAGCATATTCCTTTGGTTCTCCTTTGAATACAAATAGACTTTATTTCAATACAAGGCTTATTCTTCCTGATGAGATTGATGGTAACAACTCAAATGATTACACTTTGGAGCGGTCAGTGGTAAGTATTATTATAAACCTGCTGAATAACATGGATCCTTTAATTGATATTCTTAATATGATTTTAGATATCAAAGGACAAACTAAAATTTCAAGCTTGGTACTATCAATAAATAAAGTGGAAATAAGAATAGCAAAGAGTTTAGGTTTTTTAAAAGACATATTGATTCCAATACCAAAAAGTATATCAGCACTGGAGATACACGATCGGATACATAAGATGAAAGCCTTAATGTCAATTAAGATCTACTTATCATCAATATACCAACACTTAGCGGTACACTTTGAGCATACGAATAATGTGAGGTTAGCATTGTTTTATAGAAAAAAAATACAATGTATTAGTATTGGTGAAATAATGCCAGTCTTATTACCACTTACAGAAGATATGAGGAATTATTTTGGACGTATTGGGGTTTTAACAATAACTTCGTTTTTCATTCAATCAATTTATAGAATGAGCTTGCTAAATATCGAGATACTAATTCGCTTAAGATATCATTTTTACTATTTCACTGACATTTATTCCAATAGGCAAGATGGGTCATGCATTTACTCTTATTTAACAAAGCCATTGAAAATTAGAACGATCCATGGATATTTTTATATCTTGTATATCAAGATTGTGCAAGGAATATGACTATACAGAGAAACCGAAGAATTTATTGAATGTTTATTTATGCATACTTAAGAAAAATGATTTTTACGAGGGTAATCTAAATAATAATGCGTTAAGAAAAACCAAATATACAAGCGATTACTTAAAGCAATGTGTTACGTCTATGATGCAGCGTTGGACAATATTACGAATTCTCCTTATTCTTTGGATTCACTTGAAACGTACGATTTCGAGGATGATACTAGCCAAGAGAATATTTCCAGTTTAAATGATTCCGCAACTTTGAATTTTGACATCATTGATTATATTAATCAATTCAGTAATAATGATAACGTGAAGAAATTTTATTATTTAAATAGTTCCGTTTCTAAATTGATAAATTGATAAATTACAGAACAAAGTGGCTTAATGGAAATCTGGAAGTTAGCTTGAAAGATACAACAAGCATCAAAGACAACATTAATATAACAATCTCTTATCTAATCTTATAACACCAGCCACATATAATTCATCGTTGCTCGGTACCTTATTTACATTCATCCAAATTCAATTCTTCTCAACGATATACTTCCTTACAGTAAATAATTGTTTGTTATAGACATATATGCCTGTCAGTGGAAGCAAATTGTAATGAGAAAATATCCCACTAACCCTAAATAAATGAAGAGAAGTTCACACGAATATGTAAGTACAATTTCTGGCTAGTTGTACAAATCTGATTTGAACAAAATGTTACATTAATATTAAAATTTTCGAACAATACTAGACGAATGATACTTAGTGCATTAAAAAATAACATTCTTTTCTCTACTAATGTAACCCGTATGTGAATACAAGTCGTCTATTTTATTTTTTATAGTCGAACTAGTTTGTTATACCCCTAAAATCCGGTTTTTTAGTGTGTTATGATAAGTTTTTCGAGAAATAAAAATGATATATAAATAAGAATTTCTATGTCAGGCAAAGAATTCAATCAAGTTAAACCTGAGAGTACATTTGCACTTTAAAATGGTAGGTACAGTAAATTTCACAACTAATATTGAAAGATCTCTTCACACTTTAAGTATTGCTTTTAGTGCAGTGCCTTGCAATACGTTTATTCTTAAGAAATTTTCAAATATTCCATACGATGTGGAGGTATCAAAGGAAAGAATAGATTCAATAATGAAATCTCTAATTGAGTTGTACCTTAATAAAGGTGGGTTTATTGTTGAAGTGGATGATTTTTCTGCAGTAGGTGTTTTCACACCGCCTGGTTTGATGCTCAATATGCCACTGACTTCAGATCTAACTTTTAATGAAGCGTTTGTTCATCGCGGATTATTTTACAGGAAGAAATATTTAGAAGATATTAATTACTATTATTTATTTTTATTGGGAAAAGATTTTACAGTGCAGGGAGGAAAGGGTGGCGTTCGAAGTATATTTGATCTATACAAGAAAAAATGTGATGATCAAAATTGTGCGTTAGTGCTAGAGTGTATCAATGAGAAAGCAAAGTCGATGTATGAGTATTTTGGTTTCAAGACATATGGAACATATCAAATCGGTCAAAACGAAGTCGATTCCAATGGTAAAGTGAGCCACGAAGGTAAAGGATTTACAATTTACTTTATGATATATTACAAAGGCGCTATACATGAATATTGATTTAATTTGTTTTGCCATGCATAAAAATAAAAAATAAAACATTCATTTGTTGTAGATATCATTATTGAATAAGATATCTGCCATATCACCAATCACTTTTTCACTATTGGACTCCATTAGAGAATTAAGCGGATTACATGTGGGATGATAGAAGTCATATATTGATGGCTCCCAATCAATAATGGCTTGTTCCAAGTAATTGTTGTACAAAATTGAGGTATCTTTATTAAGCTTTAATTCTGTAAGCAAATCATCAACATTGCAAAGATAAATCTTTTCAACAATTTGGAGCTTCTGATAAGGTTGAGCTAGATGATCATCAAAATCTTTAAAATATGGATCGTTTAAATCTATGTTGTTGTTTAACTTACTCATTTTAACGCAAGCGTAGTCAAAATCTCGCTTCCCAAACTTCTTTACAAAATGCTTCCACTCTAGAATATCCTTTTCTTGGATATTTTTATAGGTTAAGGGATTTTTGTCGCTGTCTAAAAATTCAAGCGTGTCATATTAGGTGACCCGATCTTTAATCCTAATATACGAAGATGGATTATTTCTTGACAACAAATCATGATAAAAATTTAAAACTACGGATATTCTCCTGAATCTACAGTATTTTTTAGATTTTTTGATCGAATTTTGTAGAAAATTTTTGAAACATATAATCAAGCTTCCTCTACAGCTAGATATGTTTGACTGGCCGGATAGCCAAGTTTCTAAAATGCTTGTATCACACTGATCATTAGATGTAGTATCTTTTAGAAAAATACTATCGATATTTGATGCTTCGCGAATCAAAGAAAGAATTACTGGGACCCACAAGTAATGGGTTTTCAACGAACCTTCCACACATTCTAAGTATTACAAGAGCACATAGAACGTATGCTTTCTTGTATTGCTTTTTCCTTAATTGTTCAAATTTTTCACAACTTGAATATAAAATTCGATTCAAAGCACATTTTGCTCCAATGACCTTTGATCTTAATATTAGTTCTTTCGATTTGTAAACAAACATAGTGTTATTTTGATCCAGACTCTCGAATGAAACGATCGATTCAGTCGATTTCGATTTATGGGACAATAGATCTTCAATTATTTCCAATTGAGCTTCAATTTCAGACCTTTTTACTTCAATCTTTATGGTACATAGCTTAACAATATTTCTCATTAGATTTGTAACATGGCTTTCTAGAGCCAAATATTGATTATTATCTGTTCTTTGTCAGGGCATCCAGCGTCAACTTCCGACAATTCTGTATCATATTCATCAATTATTAATAATGGATATCCTTTTATATACGCTTCCTCAGCATCTAGGAATAATAACGCATGCCATATCTTTCTCCAGGTTATTCTTGTGGCATGGTATCCTACTATTGAGGAAGTTAAGTATTATTCCTTTGGGAAAGACTCCATTAACGTGTTCCACTAAATTTATATGTTTGGCTTCAGTTTTGGGTATTATGCCACTTCTCGCAAACACGAATAATACTGCTTTGATTTATCTTGTGAGAAATCATATTTGTAAAAATTTCCTTCTTGCATCTCTAAATCCCCGCTAAATATTTCAATCATATACGAATCGTTGTTTAGCAAACTGAAATATTAGGCAGCTTCATGATCATATAAACTATTTTGATCGACAAACAAAAGCCTAAAGCATTTTGAAAAGTTTATTATAAGGTCATTCCGAAAATGAGTCAGGAAAACCATTTCATTAGACTTTTATCGGAACTAATTTTGCGCAACTCTCGAACTTGATCTCTCAAAAGACAATTTTACTCTTTTAATCTATGTATTTCATTAGTCGATGGCCAAGGCTGATCTTCGTAAACACAAGACACAGTAGTTTTGCTCTTTTTACAGGATGAGCAACTCGTTCTTGCTTTAATCTTCCGACGACGACATACTCTGCATGATGTTGGAACCCTAAATCTTGGTTTTTTACGTTTATCAAATGTAGAACAGCTCTGATCCATGCCATTTCATGTCATCTATGGTAGTACTGGAATAAGTAGTAGACTAATATGATATCTATTGGAGATAAATCAGAATTTGGTCGTCGACTAAGAGTAAGCGAAAAATTCGAAAGCGTTTACAAAACCCGTTAAGTCCTCGATTCGAGCACATTATGGTTGCTCCAGAAATTTTGCTGCATATTTCATTGTACGTTGAATTGAAATACACGATTTGATAATAGAAAAAACAGAGTATTGTTGGGAATTGTATGTAAATATAAATTGAGACAATAATGTCTCTTGTAATATAATATAAAAATCCAAGTCTTTAAGAGTTACAGTAATTTACCACTCAGGTTTCGGCCATACAAAGCTTTTGGCAGTGTCAGTTTTTAAGGGTGCTCAGTCAGTAAAAGGAGTAAGTGCTGATATTTTTACAAGTGATGAAGCACCTGAAAGCCTAGAAAATCTCTCTGAAAACTATTCAGCTATGATTTTGGCAGCCCAACTTATATGGATAATGTGTCCGCAAAGTTCAAGGATTTCCAGGATAAAGACCTCACCATTATTTGTCAAGGGTGCGTGGAGAGATAAAATTGCGGCCGGATTCACAGTTGCAACCTCGAAAAGTGGTTCGAAAGGAGGTACTTTGACTGCGATGACAATATTTGCCCAACACGGAATGCATTGGATAAACTTGGGGTTGGAAACAATTCTAAGGATGGCTCCGACAATAATTTGAACAGAACGGGCCAATTTTTAGGTGTTGGTGCTCAAGAAAATGCGGACGACGGAAGTGAAGTGACCCCACCAACTTCAGACTTATTGACAGGAGAATATTTGGGCAAGAGAGTGGCTGATGATGCTTTCAAGCTTTTTTAATCACTTCTTATAAGTAATGTCATAATAAACACCATACGACTTTATTAATGTAATCTCTTGGTGGATTTCAAGCAATATCCAACCATGGAAACTGGTTTACATGGACCTCTTCATTTTCTGTACTGTATAGATTATTAATATTTTCAAGGTTTGTAATTTCAAAAATAAATGCAGATATTCGTACTTGTCACAAATTGTTATTGTACTTGGTTGAGGGATTTCTAGATAGACTACATTCTTCCCATATAAAAAAACTGTTTAATTCCGGTAAAAAAATAGAACGTCAGCATAATAAATTATTTATTAGAAATATCTTAATAAGGGTTGAATAGAGTTTAAATTACAGTAAAAGACTACAAAACTAATAGAATACAAAATGATAACCTTTCCAATTTTTTGGAATCCTTAAATACTCAGAGTTAAGCATAAAATAATATTAATATAATCCTAAAACGGATGTTTTTGCAACTAGTTAAAATGTCCCTGCAGATATAGTAAGAAGTGCTTATCTTAAAACTTCGGGCACATACATGGAGTATAAGTAGTGGGTTTACGTTTGGTTGGAAGGATAATCTAGATTATTTAAAAAACGGATTAATGAACAAAATCAAGTGATAATAAAGATTGTAATTATTTCATGGCAAGCTGATATTACTATCTAAGCTAAAATATTAGTGAAATGTTGGATATTGTGTTAAGGAAACTTGTCCCAATAATTACTCATTTCTTAAACTAAAGGATTGTCTAATCTATTTATACATAAACTTTTGCGGCACTCTTCTGCGACGCTGACAAGTTATCCCGTATATATAAACTTGTGCTCTCTTACATACTGAAAATTTTAAAATTGGCAGCAAATGGTGATTTCGCAATTTTTTTATTCATTAAAAGTTCATTGAAAAACATGCATAATAACCTTTTTTGTCAGGAATTTCTAAGCATATTGAATCAATCTCTTCCCATAACTGGCTAGAGTAATAGTAAAATTTGACAAACACTGTGGAGGGGAGCCTCAAATTGTGATAGAAGTTTGCGGCATCGTACATAATTCGACACTAATGTTTGGTGCGCTTCAAATATGCAATACTTCTGATAATGCGACCTTTTTTGCGCTTAATCATGAAATTAATTTATGCACTACTCAGTTTGTTCTCGGTTCGCGATTCCCCTTTGAGGCCAAAAGCATTATGACTTGGCGGTTTACCTCGTACGTTTATCGCGCTAGTAGATGCTTATCGCTGATAAGACCTATGACGTGCATATATAATATGAAGCTAATATCCGTGTTGTGATAGATTAGGTTTCATCGACATATGCAAAATGTCATTGAAATCTGATTTTATCGAAATACAAGGCAATTATGTTGAGCAAGGATCCATGTATGATTCCGATACAGCTTTGGTAAAGAGATTCAATTTGTGGAGTACAGTTGCATTCTAATTTTCTTTGATCTGTTCAAGTATTGCTATTGGTACGTTTTTAAGTACTGTTGTAGGTGTTGGAGGATCACCATTTCTAATTTATGGGTGTATTTTAGCATTCGGATGCGATTTGGTCATTTGCTTTTCCATGGCTGAATTAGCGTCAGCTTATCCCCCTCCATCTGCTCAAGTTCACTGGACATACTTTCTAGCACCTAAAAATCTCAAAAGGGTAATGAGTTTTTTAGTAGGGATATTATCTCGCTGGATGGATCTTTGCTTGTTTTACTGTTTCTTATACTACTTCAATGTTTGTCATTGCATTGGCTGAAGTATATAATCCTAATTATATTCCACAAGACTGGCATTATTATTTAATATATGTCACACTTGCAATAGGTGGTTGGGCGGTTAACGTTTTTGCAATAGCATTATTACCGATGATTAACTATGTGCTAGTGGTTGTTATTAACGGTGGCACATCGTTTATTGTCATGACTCTCCTCATCAAGTCAAATCCTAAGCGTTCAGTTGAATATGTTTTTCAAGGAATACAGAATTAAACTGGATGGTCTTTTAACGGTTTAGTATTTTACCTCGGTTTACTTCCTAGTATCGCTACAGTTACGATGTTTGATGGTGCAGCACATATGACAAATGAAATTCCTGAGCCAGAGAAAAACGTGCCTTTGGTTATGGCTATTGCTAATAGTTTTTCTGCTATAGCTGCATTCTTAGCTGCTATAGCTTACATGTATTGCATAGTTAAACCTGAGCACATGGCTTCTCCTATTGGAGGACAACCAATTATTCAATTAATGAATGATGTATTTCATTCAAAAGTTTTAACGACTATTGGTGTCTTAATATTGATTATTACATTTTGGGGTTTATATATTGGTTATGGATGTTCTGCATCAAGTTTAGTGTGGTATTTTTCCAACGCAGGTGGCCTTCCATTAGGAAAATCATACTTTGGAAAAGTAAATACGAAATTTAAAGTTCCTGTTAATTCACTTATTTTTATTACTTTAATTTTGGGAACTACTATATTTGGCTCTTCGACGGCATTATCTGCTGTGTCGGGTTCTTCCATGGGATGTATAAACTTATCTTATGTTTTTCCAGTTGCATGTCTTCTTTGGAAATCAAAGTTTGCCTTTATCTCCATATGTGAGATATAAAAATACGGAAAAAGAAGGCGATGAACTAGCTGCAAAACATACTAAGGGTAAAAGCTTACCTTATTTTTGTTTAGGTAGACTAGGTTTGATCATGAACATTATTGCAGCATGTTGGACTTTTTTTATAATAGTTTGGTTGGACTTCCCAATATATTATCCTGTTCAAACGGACAATATGAATTATGCATGCGTTGTACTTGGTATTACCTTTATTATTGCAATTTTACTTTGGTTCTTTCATGCGCATAAAGCTTTTGATCATGATATTAATCAAACACATATCTAATTTGAAACGTGGTTTTATCTCCTTGAGAGTTTGTATAGACAATCCTGGTCTTATGTAAATTATGAATAGAATATAAATAGACAAATATTAATATAAATACAAATACAGTGATTAAATCTTTGAATAAGAGTAACCATGCATAGCTGATCAATGCGCTCACCTTAAGCCTAATAAGTCAGAATACTGTAAAACAGTCAGAACACTGCAAAACACAAGAATCCATATACCCATCCTTCAAAAATACTTCAGAACCTCTCCGAAGTCATTTTTTTCAAGTTTCATCACATTTCCAATTGGAGTCAACCTTAGTAGACCCTGGAGTATCATCAGACTTTAAAACCAGTTCGTCAAAAACCATTTCGTCACTGGAGTTTGCAAGATCATTCAATCTACTTTCATTATTTTCGTTTTTAGCTAAGACAACATCACGGATTTTATCCTCCCCAGAAATGCCATAACCAGTAATTGGGACAAGCTCATCAAGAGCTTCAAAGTCTCTTTTTTTACGCCCTTCACTACTTGGGTAAACAGCTAACCCAAAATCTATCAAAGTGATCCTTCCCGATATTGAAACATGTATATTGTCGAGTCTAATATCATTGTGCGAAATTCCCAACAGATGGAGTTCCGCGAGCCTCTCCTTAACTACTTTATGCACCCTACATTTATCCCATTCAGTAGACGGCATTTCTTCTCCCAAATCTTCAAATATATGCATCGGCTGGCTGGGGATACCATTCCAGTATCCAGAAACTATAAGCTTTGCGAATTTTGCAGCAAAAGACGAATTCGCAAGCATCTCATTAATTTCAAGTTCATTGACGTACATGTCGTAGTAATTATCTTTATCTGGAAAATTTTCTTGGGCCTGCTCAGGATAGTTGTACCATTTAACAAAGACTGTGGACGGAAGCAGCAATCCCAAACTAGGAAAAGATGCAGCAGGATTATATATTATCCGACAAAATGTATTACCTCGAATGGCATCAAAGTCAACTTCATTGCTTTCTTTTATAGTTATCAATCTTTCTCGAAGTTGACTTCCAGACATCTTACTGCGTTTCCGTTTACGACTTGGCGTGGGTTCTTCCACAAGTCGAGGAAGCACATTCTCTAATAGATCTGGCCCTTTGGTTTTCTGACTTATTTCAATTAGTCCTCCTAATTTCACTTTTGTGCTGAGCGCCTCTGTATTATCTTTATAGAAAAATCCTGCTATCGCTGACCTTAGAGTTATGCCATGATCCACAGTCTCGGGGTCATTAATAACATAGTAGTCTATGATCATTTGTCCATCATCGATAATCTCATATTTGAAAAACCCCGAAAATGACTGATGATCTGAGATGAACACTCTGTCTGTCCCACAGAGAAAGGCTTGATAAAGATATTTTCTTAAAACTAAGGCGCATAAGACTCTAGGAGACCATTCTCGATCTTCAAATACGTACTGGTTTTCAGGCAGTCTCAATTGTTTCAAGTCCAAACGCTTTTCTACGAAGTCCGTTATAGCTAATTTCAAGTCTTCAAACCCTGTAACTAAACTGTAGTTTTCTGTCTTATAACCTCCTATCGCAAAACAGATATCTGGATTTCGACGAGTTGATGCCTCATCCCAGGACACATGGACAACATCGGGCTTAAAGCTTGGGTTTATCGACAAAGAAGGTGTGATACTTGAAGCGTAACCAAAATAGTGGGATTCATCCAAGATGTCACGATAGAAACGCTTAATTGAACTGCTATTTCTTCATTAAAATATATCTGGATATCATCTTCTACATGCATTGCATCTCCCAAAGGATAGCCATAGTCTTCTGTCAAAATTCTACGATTGAAGTTTGCTTTTTTAATCACCTTATCAAGAGGAGCCAAATATGTATTTTTGAATTCATCACTGCTGATCTCTCTAAATTCTGCCGCCATCATCGCATTCGTAACATAATTTAGAGCCAGCAACACAGTCGTAGATCCAGTGGATATTGAAGCATTATGTTTGGATACTATATGCTCCAAGGTAGGTAATTTTTGATTATGTTGGATATTTGTGATTTTCAAAAGGTGAGTGTCTAAAAAAACCCTTATGTTTTGTTCGTTGTCATCGTGAACTCTAGCATATAATGATGGATTAATCCTAATGCATTTATTTACGGGATCATCATACGTAATATTGTTACTATCTTCCCCCGAAAAGTACATACATGAAATTATAATATGTTAAGTACTGGGCTGCTTCATCCCTTATTGATTGATCTGGGGCTACCCCGATTTAAGTGGCTTCCTTGATTATATAATAAAACAAAAACGGATTATGAACTGCATATGTACTAGACATGACTAATACCTGCACTTGGAGATTGCGCGTTCTTTCCCATAGTTTAGGTGCACACCCATTCGGGTGCAATATCGTAGAGAAGGTATTACACCATGTATATATTTTTCAGGGGTAGATAGTAATAATATCACCGTTGATGATCCGAGCAACGAGTGCATTATAGTAGACCCAGAGTTGTGTGGTGGAGTTCACATTAAGAAGGAACAAAATGCAAGAATCTTTTGGATACACACTTACTAAGAATTCGAAGTGGAAGAAGTGAGCAAAAACCCTCCTCAGAGAGACTAGTGTCCAAGTGCAAGGCATCCGCGGACATAGGGAATATGCCGTTTATACCGTATATTGATTACTGCTGAATTCAGGGAGATGACTACTGATAAATTCAAGGATAGGTACCGTGCTCCGCTTGATCATGTTCTTAGAGAATCAAGTATTAGGAGTCGACTTTTATCAGAAGACTATTGTTATCCATTGGGAGATGTTTTAGATAGGGAGCATGATATCCAGGAATACTTTAGTGAAATAGCAATCCCGATCAGGCAACTTTATGGTGATGTGTTTGAGTTACCAGGTTTAAAAAATATCTGCTTCGCATATAGGTATTACCTATGCGATTTGTTTGAAGTAATATCTTCCTTTGTTGTTCTTGTGCCTAGTGATTCTAAGCTCCCCTCGTCAAAAACTTCGGAAGAAGAAGTGATATCACTTTCATATTTGCCATCTTTACCAGCGTTATCAAAATGCACGCATTCCCTTTCTTGAATAGAACGGTTGATTTGATTATCTTTCTCATTAGAACTATGTTCCCTAAATATTTCGTGAAGAGATTTAAAGTCATTTTTCTTATATTCTTCGTTATTGGAGCAATCGGATAGGCCAAAGTCTATTAAAGAAATTTTGCCAGAAACCGATACATGAATGTTGGCCAGCCTAACATCATTATGCGAAATTCCTAACAGATGGAGCTCGATAAGTCTTGATTTGATAACTTCATAGACACTATCCATATTCCATTCGTCTATCGGCATTTCTTTCCCTAGATACTCAAATATATGCATCGGATGATCGGGAAGACCATTCCAATAACCAGAAACAAGTAGCTTCGGAAACTTGGATGCAAATTGTGATTTCGCAATTTTTTCATTAATTACAAGCTCATTGAAGAACATGCCATAATAACCCTTTTTATCAGGAATGCTGAAGCATGTTAAATCATTCTCTTCCCATAGCCGGCTAGAATAATAGTATAATTTGACAAACACCGTGTATGGAAGTTTTAAATCAGGATAACGTTTTGATGCATCATATATGACTCGACAATGCGTGTTACCATGAATTTCATCAGTGTCATCACTATCAGGATTTTCACTGATTAGGTCCAAATCTTCTGCAAATTCATTACCAGGCAAAGTTCCCGAAAGTCTACTAATCTGCATAGATAATCCTCGCGAAGGTTCACTAGTCTGCCTTGGTAACACATTCTTAAATGGATCCGGTCCTTCCGTTTTGCACGCTACTTCAAATTGACTTAGTAACTTACTCTTTGTATTGTATGCATCAGTCACATTTTCATAAAAAAACCCCACTATTGCAGATCTCAAAGTAATACCATGTGCAACAGTCTCGGAATTATTAATAATATAGTAGTATATAGTCATTTTTTCATCCAAAATTCTATATTTAAAAAAACCAGAGAATGTTTGGTGATCTGAGATAAAAATCCTATCAGTACCACATAAGAATGCTTGATAGAGATATTTCCGTAAAACCAAAGCAAATAAAACCCCAGGAGACCACTCCCTATCAGCAAATAACGATCGACCTTTCAGTGATCTCAACCGCTTCTTATTTAATAAATTTTGTTTGAGATCGTTTATAGCTGCTCTTAATTCTTCAAATCCTTGTACCAAATTGTAGGTTCCTTTTTTGTAATCCCCTATAGCAAAACAAAGATCGGGGGTTTGCAAATTTAGAAACGACCCCTTTTTCAAAATATGGACTATATCTGGTTTCACTATTCTTCTTCTATCCAAAGGTGACCGAATCATCGATGGTTTGCCAAAATAGTTGTCCATATCACCAACATCACGATAAAGTCCCCTGATCGGGATTGCTATTTCATTAAAGTACTCTTGGATATCATCTTCCACATGACTAGCATCCCCAAATGGATATTTATATTTCTTGGATAAGAAGTCGTCACTAATGTTCGTATCTTTAAGTGCATCATCAAATGGAGCAAGGTAGCTCTCTTTGAATTCATCACTACTCATCTCTTCAAATTCAGACGTCATCAATGCATTAGTGACATAAACAACAAGAGGCATGAGGGGCATGGCCCCTACTGAAATAGATGCGTCACTTTTGGGCACAATTCTCTCTGAAAAGCTCTTTTGCTCATCTTCATCATCTCGTATCCTTAATAAATGAGTATCCAAAAAGACCCTTGTGTTTTGTTGATTGTCATTTTGCACCATAGCGTATAATGATGGCATTATTCTGACACATCGATTCTCGGGGTCATCATAAGTGATACTTTCACTCTCTTCTCCTGAGAAGTACATACATGGCATGATTGCATGATAAGTAAGTAGCTAGTTAGTTAGGTATGGGAACACTCACGTTTTTTTGCTCATCCCTTAATCATTGATTCTGTCGTTACCCTACCAATGTCCTACATAATAATCGCGTTAACAGAGTAATCCTAATATGTATATTGGGATCATGATAAAGGTCGTGTGAATACCTTAAAATATAGGGAAGGATACTTATATATTTAATATGACAGATATACTGGTCTCATATATCAATGTTAGTTACTATAGAAGTAGTTAAGTGATCGATCTACATACCGATGACTTTTTGGGATGGTCTTAATTAAGTATATTCTGCTTAATTACTATTCGTTAATTAGAAAAATCATCTTCTTCTTGAAGGTTCATTCCTAATTTATATTCTCGTTTCGTTTCAACTCATTAAGATTACTCCCATATCCTCTGATGACTATCAGTATCACTAGCATAACTATTTATGGTTCTTACAATGATTTCTTTCAGAATCTTTATAGATTCTGATAGTGATACAAAACCAACAATGTATTCATATCCCGTGACTAACTGCACCATTCCGTATATTTTCAAGAAAGCAGGCTTTTATCAACTCACTTCTGATCTATTATAATTTCTTAAACTATGCATAAGCTTACTATTATATCTTGCAACCCCGTGATAACTGTTCAACCCCAATCTAAAAGTGCAAACTGTTTTTTGTTTACTTTTCAGAGTACCATGACGTCATGGTACTATTAAATTGGTCCAATGGGGGGTCTTACAATCGACGGTTTGCCAAAATAATGGTCCCTACTACAGGCGTCAAGAAAAAAATCGTTGGAGCTATCCTTTCATTAAAATATTCTTGGATATCATATTCCCTATTTTTAGCATCCCAAATGGATACTTATATTTCTTGGATAAAAAGTCGTCGCTAATGTTTACATCTTCAAGAGCATCATCAGGTGAAGCAAGATAACTATCCTTGAGTTCATCACTACTCATCTCCTTGAATCCAGCAGCTATCAATGCATTGGTGATATAAACAAGAGTAAACATCAAAGGCATACGTCCTATTAAGACAGACGCGTCACTATTGCATACTAATTTCTCCGAAGAGGGCTTTTGCTCGTTCTTACTTTGAATCTTAGCAAGTGAGTATCCAAAGAAACCCTTATGTTTTGTTCATTTTCATTTTGTACACTAAAGTATAATTCTGGGATTATTCTGACACATTGATTCTCGAGGTCATCATATTTGATATCCCTACTCTCTTCGCCAGAGAAGTACATACATGATATGTTAGTTATATAACGGTGGTTTAGCTTTTCGTTGTTTTTCAAATTGTGTTACCACCTTTGTCATATTTGTCACATGAAAGAAGGAACGTGAATGAAAAACTATTTTTTGCCCCTTGACATTACCATAACTCGTGGGATTGGCACAGTTTGGCATTTTCCTCTAGTAGAAAGGACACATTGATGCAGTATAGAATTAGTATACCGATATAACAATAGCTCTTACTATTAAAAAATATGAACATAATATTCAATAGATTCTAATATTTTGATGTAAATCCACTAAGAATATTTGCACGAATTCTATACATGTTGGAGGAGATATGTTTAAAAAAACAAAATATTTATTATAAAAAATGATTTAAGTCGTTAACAATACTTTAGGTTCCTTTAAGCAAAACTTTGTGTTAGGGAATTGGATCTAAAATAGTTAGTTCTTCTAATTAACTCTAATATATATTCTAATACGGACTACTGAACTAAGCTCACTAACTTTGCTTTACTATTGGGTTGACGACTAGACCTAACTACTCTATATTTAGTTCTGAATTCCTTGCTCTCTTTCTCGGGATTTCTTACGAAACTTCTCTACTATTTGTACTTTGCAATCGTCGGAAATTGCAAAATTCCTGGTAACATAAGTCCCGAATGTCAAATATATACACATTAACAAGTATGGAAATAATTCACAATGTTGGAATAATACATGGAGATATTTGCGAAAGTAATATTCTTTATTCAAACGGAAAGATATATTTTATTGATTTTGGATATTCTGATTATTTTCACGATAAGAAGGGTTCGCGACCAGTTAGTTGGGAGAAGGAAAAGCGAACACAGGAAATTGTGTAGTGTTTAATCAGTTGATTCTCGAAAAAAACTAGTTATATAATCATTGTATAGCGAGTAATAAAAAGCGGAAACCATGTCTGTCACTCATCCTTATCACGCTCCTCCTATACCCTGCGATTGGGTGGAAGCGCGACAAGCCCATATAAAAACTGGAATCGTGGATTTGTTTTGATCGAGAAGGAGCTATGACATTACATAATATAGTCAATAAAAGTATATTATGGTGGAAGAAGACAGGACGGAAACGTTTATGAAATCTGTGATTATCTCGTTGATGTTTCCTGATGATAAGTTTGCGTAGTCGAAGGTGCGGGCAAAAATGTAACAAGATATTAATGAAACCTACTTTAAACTGGTCGAAGCTCGTACAAATTTTAGAGTGGTCTCGCGCTAGAAAAAAAGGGACCACTCAAAAGCGTAAACTGTCGTTTTTCCAATTGTAGTCCCTGGATAAATGAATTCCCAAGTATACCCGGTGGTTTTTCTACCATCAGGTAGTATATAGGAGGCATTATAACCAAGTTTGAGAAAATTCTGAGAAAGTGAGAAATCACATTTGCAAGTTTAGCACTATAGAAAAACTATTCTGACTAATTTTATGAGCGTTGCAATTCTCAACTCTTCAGATAAGTTCTGTTCGGTACACTTACATTGATACAATCATTTCATTTTATTTTGGATCACCTTCATAATATTTTGTCATCATGGTCTTTGTGAAGCAAAGGAAATATTCATCGGAATTATCCGATATTTAACTAAAATGCTTACATACTATTAACTTCTTTTATACATGCACGCTATCTATATGTTTTTTACTTGAATACATCTTCCTCTATTATTATTGTATCGATTGATTCTCTGCGTATCTCGTGGAAAACTTCAGAAATTGTAGAATTATTATCACTTCCGTACTTGTCTTTGTATGTTCCCCAAGTTTAGCCCCATATACCTAAAGGGTGTTTATCAAGCAATGCCAATCCTTTTATTTTCCGCACTAAAAATCCTACGCTAACTGGTCCAAGAATAGTACAAAGAACAATAGCCCATGTGACAATAATATAAACGTCAGATGATGTCCCTTCCGTCGGCTCACCATTTGGAGAAAACACTCCTTTCGCTTCAGCTAATGAAGATATCAAAAATCCTATTTCGCCTCTGGCAACCATCGCTGAACCAAGCATTGCAGTAGGATAAATGTTTTGTATAGAAAAATTAAGTTTTCCATCTTTAAATCGAATGAGCCATAATCCGCAAGCCAATTTCGAAACTATCATTAGTAATGCATAAATACAACCTTTCCAAAATAATCTTCCTATAAACATTTGAGTTATAGGTATAGAAAACCCGATCGATGCAAAAAAAATTGGCTGCAATATTTTGTTCACGACTTGGGAGTAAAATTCATCGAACACTTTAGATCCAGTAAAAACCAGTTCTTGATCATAATTTTCAAATTCATTTTTTCCGTTATTATCGAAAGAGAAATCATTGCTCGAAGATTCTAAATTATTGGTAATACTGGCTTGATTAATATTACTTTTCTCCTTCGCTGTCTCATCTTCAAAGTCTGTTCCTAACTTCTTATCTAACCACGAAAGTGTAGCCCCCAAAACATATGCAGCCGTTAAATTCGAAGCTCCTGCGTATGTTGCTCCGGTAGTAATGCCAATGAGTAAAATCGTATGTAACACAAAATAATAATTACTTGACATTAATAGTACTCTCAAAATTGTTGGAAATGTTCTTTTTTGTTCTCTAAACCATAACGTAAAGGGAAGCAAAACAAATTTAGCAATTACTCCAACTATAACTATAAGCGCTATTGAAACAAATACGGGACGTATAACGCTAATCGCAGTAAATGATCCATCACCTAAATTAGAAATTATTTTGATCATTACTAATCCAAAAATATCATCTAGTACAGCAGCACTAGTCAAGATAATGCCAACTCTACTTTGCTTGAAACCAGATGTTAATAAGACAGTAAAAGAAGCACCTAAACTAGTGGAACTTAGTGCAGCTCCAGCTGCAAATGCAATTACCGGCGTTGTATTGGAATAGCCTAATATCGAAAAACTAAGGGCAATAGGAAGGCAAACACCAGTTAAAGCAACCACGAGCGCTATATGAAAATTAGCTTTCAAAACGTTGAAAGAAGTGGACAATCCTCCTTGATATACCATCAAGATTAATCCAATGTACCCCAATTCCATAAAAGTTTCCTGTGAATGTTTACTGAGCCAATTTGTACCAGGTACTCCATAGCAGACACCTAGAAGTATCTGCCCAACTAGTCCACAAAATATAAATCTATTAAGAATGTAATTCAAGCCATTAAGGAATAGCAAAAATGAAGAATATATAAGTAATGTTATAGCATCTGGTTCTTCGAATGGGAGATATGTTGGTGCCATATCTGATAACTATAGAAATTAACGATTTTTAAGAAGAAAAGAGAATAGTCAATGAGATTAATGATATACAGTCCTTTATATACTAGGTCTGTACACAAGGTATTGTAACTTGCACTTATCACTAGAGGAAAGAAAAAGGCGCAATTCATAAGCTACATCGGTACAGGATACTGGATATAATTCGAGCATGTAGTTATAGTCATGTGATCGAGCTGGTGCGAAATAAAAGAGGAGCTGAATAGCAAAAAAAGAGGCGGCCGATATGGGCGCAATGAAGGTGAATGAAGGTGTGGGTATAAACTCTTAACTTACAATTCATGTTTGAAGGTTATATATAATATGCACGTGCTTATATGTATTCATTAAACTGGGGGCCTTATTCTTGATCAATCCACCTTTTTGGGGATCACGTTTCAATTGTATAGTTTTCCAGGTTTAGCATCTATATCAAATGTTTTTCTCCTATGCATCAAGATATGCATACCAGTTATATACACACCGGCGAAAAAGAAGATTGTGTTGACGCCCATCGCAATTAGGAATAATTCGTTCAAAATCATTATAAATTGATATTTATTTACAATCTTCGTATTCGTTGTTAGCACATGAGAAAGGAAAAATCTTACATTGTGATAATTTTCAGAGAGAGATACAATATTCAATATGGAAGCAACACTGGTTTCCCCAAATCAAAAACGTGGATGACGATGTGGTTAATTGTTGCCTTTTTCTTTGGTCATCATACTCAAGAATTATGTTGCTTTTTGCTCTTCATAATTTAATACTGTTCTAGAAATTGACATCAATTTTGGAGCCATGTGTTGTTAACGCCATACGTATGTTATCAATATAAGGTATGCAAATATCCATATCCAAATTTGTAAGAATGAAAAAATAAAAAAAAAAAGAGGGAATAGGTTTCAATGCTAGCAATTACCCAATTACCCCCAAGATTCAGTCGTTGGGTTATCTACGGCTTCGTATAATATAGGTAAGTTACTATTATTGAAAGGTCATATATTTAAATCTTTCCTTATATCTGATTGAAATCTTGTGGCAGTGAAAACATAATCTTCTACAACTTTCGCATCAGCCTAAGTAACATAAAATGCGATCTAACAACGTACTTCCTGACTTCCTCGACTTCCTCTTTTTCATACCTCACCGTGATATCATTTTGATCAACAAACGCATCACCAAAATCTCAGCCATCTCTTCAAGCTTTCTGTTCTAATGCGGACTCCTTGGCTGCAATTTCTAAAAAACATATTAATGCAACGCTACTTTTCTCCATTACAATTCTCATCAGTCGACATAGTCTAATGGAACAATAAATCCTCGATTCAGCGATGTTGAAACATAAGAGATAAAGTTTGTGACATCATTCGAATAATTGTGATGGGGATGGAGATTTTAATCTATGCTGAATCCACGGGTCCCCAATGTTAGAAATATTCGATGAGCTTATCAGTCACCTTCTCGATGTGAGATTTTTTTTGACTATTTATACGCATTACATTCAACAGCTTATGGTTCCGTAAGGCGATTGCTTCTGAGTTGATATGATGTATAGGAGGTGTAATTTTGAGTCAATTTTAAGTTGCAATAATTCCATACATTCCATATTAGACACCAATTCTGAGAACTATGGCAGTTGTAAGGTATCATTTCATGTAAACNAACCCAGGCCTTGGGGATGTATTCATGCAGGAATAGTTACAAATAAGTCATGCTAGTTTTAAATCTATGGGCCCCATTGAAACTTTTTTTGCCCTCATTTTGTAGTTTTTACCACCCGCGAAATTCTTAGCGCCATATGTTCAGAATGTAGTTTTTCTAAGAAAACGCGCGTTGAAATGATATTTCAAGTATCTAAATGTTATCGTTTATCCTGCCTACTATGAATTTTGACGTAGAAATAAGCGACATCGTATATCGCTAAAGGAATTCTAACCAAAAGGAGCATTTGAATTTCAGAAAAAAATTTTTTTTCTGGGATTTGAAATACACGAATGATACGGACCAAAGTAATTTCTTTGTTTGGTTGCATAGTTTCTTAACATCATTTATATTATTTTATTAAAAAACTTGAATCAACTGAAAAAACGTAAAATTAAAGACCGTATAACGAAGGTTTTTGAGAAAAAAGCAATCAAATATACAACGCAGCTAAGACACCAACAGATAACGCTGCTAAAGAAAGGGATCCTTTAGAAGCAGCAGCATTTGTCATAGCTTCAACGGATGGCATGGCGTTATCTTGGGTGTCTGTCGACATAGACATATTCGTGTTTCCAGGAACAGTCATCATTGGGTTACTTGGCATAGAGGATGAATTGGAAGCCATTTTGGAAATATCTGGAGCATTTACTTCTAAGATAGCTGGACCATATAATATGTTAGAATCAGTTAAGTTTCCTGAATTATTGGAAGTAATAAAAGCATAAGATTGACCTCTAACCTCTTTTGGAATGGTAGACTTGATCATCCCATCTGACATACTACCTTTACATGGAATTACATCTAAACCACTAACGTAAGTGACATAACAATCTGATGGAACATCATCATCAGCCTTAAATAAAACATCTTCGCCCATCGAAAGTGGCATTTCGGTAGAGACTGTAAGTCCCATGTATCCCTTGACAGGAAGGGCAGCATTGGAAGATGGACATTTTGTAATGAACCCAGAAGCGATCGTATAAATAGCGTTCAAACCGATTGGAGTTCCAAAGGGATTTGCCATAGGGAGCTCACCAACAGCATTTCTAAGGGCAAATTGATGGATTGCTTCAGTCGCCAAAATAGAAGCAGCTGCATTAAGATAATTCTTGGACGTAATAAGCAGACTGGCCCCAGCGTATGCAGAAACACCAACTCCCTCGACGGTGGCTGCAAGCGAAACGAAATCCTTTACTGAACTCATGTTAAAGTTGTACTCGCATGCTTCGACTGGCATCAATCCAGCTTCCTTAAGACCGCCTTCAAGGTACAGGACGTGCGTAGCCTCATCATAAGAAATGTACTCCAATTGATTATAAACGTCATTGCTAAACCCAGCTTTCTTGAAATCATCAGCAGACCACTTGGAAAGAGCTTCCTTGTAGAAGGCATCCTCAAGATGTTCGAGTGTAAGAGCATATTGCAATACATCACCGTCTATATCTTGTCTTTTGGTAAGGCTGACTGGTGTTGCTAAAGCGGTAGCTGCTAAAAATGGGGTGTATAATGTGGTGATTTTCATTCTTGATATTTGATGTTTTTCCAAAATTTATTCCAAAATGCAAAACATCCACCACATTTTATAGTAAAGAAGGGAGGTTGAGTAAGCAGACTATGACCGCTGTATTTATTTTGCTTCCCCGTATGACCAGTGTCGTCAATAAGCCGTATCTAATTCTTATTGTCGGATTACTAACGGAATACAGGACGTTTACAGTATAAGCAGTCATTTAGTAAGAATGTTTACTTTTCATTGAGGAATTGTATGCAAGTAAGGTGTTGCGTCTTCCATGCGTAACGGATTGTTGTTGATTCTACAAGGCTTCTTTTTAGAAATCAAACCCCAGTTCCTTCGACGCCGGTCCGTTGGTAGCTACAACTATCTCTTTAATTCATCTGTACAAATACATTTACAGCTATGGGCAACATCATGTTATATGGTATATATTTGGTATACTGTGGGTGATTATAACTACTCGACCAAATACCGCAGTATATAGTGGAAGCATCCGGAGTTATTCTGAAACTGTGTATTTATCCGGAGGTAGTCTGATATACCCGGAGATAATAGGATATATCTGGAGATAGTAGAAAATTGTTAGATTACGTATAAGTTCGAGTGCTGACCCCATTGGGACATACTGACTTCAATGTCCCCTTTACGTACCGTTTGCTTTTATTCATGAGCAATTATAGTGTCAGGATGGCTTTACATGTTGGTGCACACAATTCGCATTCCGACCACATCGAGGCTCGACTTGCGTAAGCTTGTTTAAAGGAGTTGCCATATGTGGATTGTTGTGATGTTGTTTAAGGTATTTCACCACTTTATATACGGGCGAAAGTTTATTTTTGCTATTCTATGATATGAATTCAGGATAAAAGAAATATTGCAGTGTTATTTTCAAAAGCTCATTTGGGATAATATATTTTCGTCATCTAGAAATATGGCAGGCAAATTTTATATTATTGAATGATATTTATATACATTTATCTTTTTTCGCAATGATATTTCATTAATATTTACTACTAACAAAAGTTTAGGATTAGGAATATTTGAACGTTGTACCCTTATTATATTTTTAGAAAAGTTCCTGTGGCGAATGGTATTAACATTGTTATTCATTAATTTGTTTAGTCATAATTATGTCGCTTACATCAAAGCCAATTTCTTTTGCATAATCTAAATAATCTTGTACAACGATTTCGTCAAGATTCTGCGATCGAGAAAGAATCCACATGTATTTTCTACTAGGTACACCAACTAATACTGTCTGATAGTTGTCATTGATTTTTAAAATCCAATAATCACCACGACCTATTGGTAAAAAGCGAATTGCTTTTGGTAAAAAACTAACTTTTAACTTCGAATTGAATGGGGCATTTTGCGTAAAAGCTTCACCAATAGCCTGTAGTAACTTCCCATCTTTTGAATAACAGCTGTTATCGACATTGATGTTGGCATTTTCATTTAAAGAGTATTTTGCAGAAACATTACTATAGCACTTGTTTTGAAATAAGAATGGTTTCCTAGCAATTTCGTACCATTTCCCTAGGTATTTATTTAATTCAATTTTTTCCACCACTGGCATTTCTTCTGTCTTTGTATGAACAGCAATTAATAAAGTGCTACCTATGAGAAGAACTACCAATACCCGTTTCCACCAACTTAAGTCTAATATTCTGATGTTGTTAAACATCGATTCTATTTCCTAATATATAATAAATTGTCTGTTTAGATAAAGTTTCCTATTAAATATAATTCGGTATAGGGGATATTCAGAAAAGTTGCTTCAACTAAAACGACATTGTCGTCGCCCATTTTAATTAGCCATAAAAAAAGCAAAATATAGCATCAATAAAGCGGCTCAGCCTATTCTAAATGTATCAAGACAAATAGTTTTCATGCTACTTAAATAGTCAAAGAATGAGCGTTCCTCAAACATCGAAGTCTGTGTGCGATCTCAGTGAAATGTCAAAATCAACGCTGATGTCCAACAGCATTTATATTATTTGGAAATATATATAATACGTTCAATATCGGTAGGCACTTCTAAGTGTTCGAACCATTTCGCATACTGAATATTTAGAACAAAGAAAGTAGGCTAAGGTCAGTTGTTGAAATATAAAACACACAGCGTATGAGAAAGCTGAAAAAGTAACTGGAAATAATTTTCATTTGCTATATACTACAGCAGTTAATGAATATCATTCAAGTGCGGGTTAACTATATAAAAATTACACTGTAGACCAATTATAAAATTCATCTTCCACCCCCCACTTCGTTCAAAATACTTATTTATTATCGGTAGTCTCTTTTATTTCAACCATAGAAAATTTCCCGCCTGCGTATTATTTCTTTTGCAAGTAGATTAAAATGCAGGCTTTTTTTGCACCACAGTTCTTATTGAGTTCTATACCGTCAAAAATATAAGGCATAATAGAAGCTATAATATGAAGTCGAATTATCGTCGTGCTTAAGACCGGGATATGTTCTCAACGCATTTTTCAAAAGAGCATCTTTTTGGGGTATATCAGTAAATCTAATAGGTCCCATTACTCGAATATAAACCTTCATCTTTCGTATTACAATTAATAAATACCAGTCTCTCCAATATATATCTTCTCTTCCAATGGAAGGGTGTAGACATATTTCTCCAAATGGAAATTTTGCAAAGGTATTGAAAAAAAATTTAGATTAGTGCGCGGATTACTAGAGTTAAGCGTTAATATTTTTGTAAATCCACAAATTCGTCGATGAGTACATAAGATCTAGTGGGGGAGGGGTCGACAACTGAACGGACATTGTTTTTTCGAGTCACTTGTAGTGAAATAATTAAAATTCTACTGTTACATGTGCCCATTACCACAGATTACTGGTTACAGTCCCGCTCAGCAGACAAGAACAAGACTTTAGAGTAAACCGCGGCGGGAAAGATATTGTTTTGAGAAGAACTCATCCCGGAACAACACCCCCTCAACATGAACTTATCAAACCCAAAGGATGGAAATATGTACCAATTGCTTTAGTCCACAGGGCTCGTTCCCATTGAGGAAGATCGCGGTGGGGTCGCCATATAAAAAAGGAATGCCAATAAATTAGAGAAAATAAGTATATAAAAGAAAAGTGTGCAATGAATAATATTTCAAGATGATTTCTTAATTCATTTCTAAACATCAGTAGAATAATTTAGGTTTGATCAGAATTTACGAAGTTGAAAAGGAAGAAAAGTTTTTAAAGATGGGTTGAAGCTTCGTCGAGATTGTATTAGACTTTCTTACAACAATGATGCTAAATTTAATGATGATGGCAGTGTTGAAACTGGTGCATCTGATACTATTCCCTGCAACTGCATGTAAACCGTTCAACCCCATACTAATAGTGTAAATTGTTCTTTGCTTATTTTGGAGAATACCATGACGTCATGGTACTCCTAAAATCGAAATAACTCAACAAAACCAAACAATGCAATACCTATAATTTACATATTCATAACATGCTTAACATAAAACATATGTCATTCATTTTATAGAGATAAAACATATATAGAAACAAATAAAAACGCAATATATAAAAGTATGCAATTAATATCTTCAATTTATCTCTTTCATTGAGAGTTGGATATCGGCTTTAAAGCCTCCAACTCATTAAAAAATACAGGAAGATTGATAATTTCATGCCAACATTCTGACATTAACTGCTGTGCTTCAACGATATCATTTTCATAGCCTCGTGAGATAGTCTCATAACTATTCAAGGCTGCGTAGTCAAAACCTCAAATTTGACCCCCCTATGTACGGAAAAACAAGGCCTGTAGCGCGAAGGGTACCCGAAGTTCTGGTAGGCGGTTAACATTTCTAACCTTCAAAAGAAAATACACATTTAAATATAGAAATTTACCTTATCGACTACTCTGTATATAATTTGCGTATGCCAGTGATTAGGGTATATGTAATTATATGTATTAGTGGTTTCTAAATACACCAATTGAATAGAAAAAAACAAAGAAATACTAATCGTTGCCCCTTACCCACCTCTCAGGATTATCGAACCGATAATATGGTTGTAATTGATAATGTTAGAGTTTTGCGGTTGTAGCAAAGAAGAGTTACTAATAAATAGGGTAAAATCCTATTGGGTTGACCCGCCAAATGGTCAATTTTCCACATTTCGAAAATCTGATACCTGAACAAGAATATTTCAATTTTTTTCTTTTGATATAAAAATTATGTATGGTGCAATGTCGTTTCTACCCAATTGTAGGATATAGTTTGATAGTTATTGATCAAGGGTTATCCGCAATTAGCTCCCCACCAATTTTGCTCCTGTATATTAATATCTAAATACCTCAAATCCCTAGATATATCATCTCTATATATATCATCTGCCATGGATCGATATTTCTTTACCGAAATGTTGAAATGTATTTAATTTCTTTTCTGGAATACATGTCCATATTAATGATGCCGGATCGTGCAATTCGCAGTATAGCTGTGGCTTGTCCCTTTAGCTCGCTTCTTTCGGCCAAAGCTGATGTCACTGATTGAGGTGTTGTACACTTTCCAAACTTGAACATTAACTGAGAATTGGTTTAATTGATATTAGAAATTAGTTTCCTCAATTTCTCTGACATCTGCAAGTATAGCTCGATCAACTCTTCGGGATCTTCTGACGGATCGTCTCCTTGCTGAACTTGCAATTATCTACTATTCGACTCTCTAACTGTTCCAAATTTTTCTCGTAATCTTTCGGTAATATTAATGCTTCGGCAAGCTTCATCTCCTATTGTTTTAATAATTTTATTGTAAATTGCATGAAGATTAGGTTCATTATATATTCTTTTCATGGGTCATTTTTCAATTAGTCATTTATCTTATAAGAAAGGGGTGTGTCATCAAATCTTATGAGTGAAAAAATAAATTTCTAAACATTCGGCAGTATGATATGGTCAATCCTGTCAATGATTGGCAAGGTGTGAGTCAGTAATTCTCTTTAGAAGATGAATCAACTGGGCGTGTACCCATCAAATTCACTCTCAAACCTACGGGATTGTGGCTGATAACTCTGTCGCAACCTGCCGAATGGGGAGATAATCGAGTTGCGAGATCCTCAAGCGGTGTATCGAGTTCCATTACTATACCCTGCAATTGGGTGGAGCCGCTACAAGCCCACACAGAAACTGGAATCGTGGTTTTGTTTACTTTTGACGGAGCCATAATGTTATGGCTCCTTCTGAATCAAAACGAACCAACATAACATTACATAATATTGAATTGTTGTATTAAATAAGCAAGAAAAGTTTTTATAGACGTCTAAAAGATTTCTTTACTCTCTAACTGAATGTTAGCTTTGAAACTACTATTTCCTTAACCGATGTTGGAAGATTAATTATTTCGTGCCACCGCTCGGACATTAGTTGCTGGGCTTTAACAATACTGTTGTCATATTCTCTGCAACGAGTATTTAGAGCTATTATACCCTGCAACTGCGTGCAAACAGTTCAACCCCATACTAACGATATAAATTGTTCTTTGTTCTCCCTCACATTTTTAGGATTGTTTTCGCACACTATAGTGGTTATAATTCACGGACACAACCGCTGAGCGCAATGTCGCGGGTGCAATGTCGCAAATGCGAACGTAAAAATCAGCACTTTTTTGTTACCACAACTTGCAAATTGTGGTCTTCAATGCAAAAGTGGTAAACATTCGCACTGTAGGATTGCAGGTTACACAGTGTGCTACCGTCATCCATTTCATCAATTTATGAATATATAAATAGGGCAGCCCTCCCCCTTAAAATGCTTATCGAAATCACTTATTCAATTATCTATCTTCTTTTATCTTCCATTACTTCAATATCTTCCTGCTTATCATCTGCGGTATTACTTAAACTCATTAATCTTGGCATTATCAAATTTTTTCGTGATGTTCGCATTTCGAAAACCCCACAAAATTACAATACTTCCTTCAATGAAAATCTGAAACAAATATTTCTTTTATGCTAATTTTATTCGATTTCCTATAAATTGATGGAGTCTCACAAGAATCAAAAAAAAATACCGAATTTTTTATTCATCGCAATTAATTACTATGAACAACAATACTTTTCGTAATAATATTAGGAGATATATTTTAGGAGATGATGAGGATACTGGTATGGATATTGACATAGATATCGCTAAATTTGAGATTACGAAATTCGACTACAGAAAAATATTCGATAATAGGGCGATTCAGAATGTAAGCTATCAAGAAATTTTACGCAAAATGTTTGAAATTGAGAATGTATTCGACTTAGATATGGATCATGTGAGGTTGCATTATAAAGATCATCCAGATAAATGGAAAGAATTATTTATTTTCTTTTGTGTTATGCCATTCACGGAGTACGAGTTCCAAGGCAAAGATGGAAATTTGTTGAACCCCGATACTCTTCATATTGCTTGTCCGAGTGAGGCTACTGACAACCTTCTAATTGGGACTTTTTCAGATATAGAATTTGAATCGCTGAACCAAGAACTTCCAAATGACAGGCTTGCAGCTAATTTGCAGTGTATTTTGAGAATTGACCTATTCTCTAATGCTTTTAGCGAATATCAAAGAAAAAGAGTTATTACAAAGTTGCTTGGAGTTTGCTTTAAACAGGACTATAAGCTTGTTAAGCATATTGGGTCAAAGGCAGAAGCAACTTACAGAGATAATTTTCTGATCTATTTGTTTAAACCCATAAGTGATTATGTTTCAGCTTTATTCGGCTTTGAAATAGAAGTTGAAGAGAGAAATACAGACGGTCAGACAGGAGTGCAAACTAGAGTGCCTCACACAACAAATGATTTATTTTATTCTCATCCGGATATTGTAGCTTATACGGAGAAAATACATTGCCGATCATTAGCTATTGTGGAGGTCAAAAAATTACCACTTTTGAAGGGAAACAAAGTGGTAAGCTTTAATGATTCAAAAATGGTTAGATTCTTCGTTCAAGTTGTGGCGGAAATGTTTTCTAACCACACTAACAAAGGTATGCTAACAGACTCTTATACAACAATATTGGTTGAAATAGATATCGAGAGGAGTTTGGAGGTAATCAAGCATAGTACAGAGCTTCTGGATGCTGGCAAACCCATAGCTCTCAATTATAAAATCTTGGATTGTCCCTCGTCTGGACTTACCTTGAGGGGTGGACTCATTTCATTTATCTATGAGGCATTCAACACCAATGGAACTCGATTAAATGAGATTAAGAGGGGATTAGATAAGATCTATAAGTATATTCGTAAGACAGACGAAGAGTACTTGACTTATATTGATGGACTAGCCGACAAATATGAAGCAGCTTATAGAAATTTCTGTATCGATGCTTATAGGGCTAAAGAGCAACGGCTTTACCTTTCTGATACAAGTATTAGTCTTGGAGAGTTTGCAGCTATTGATGTGCAAAGTGGGTTTACTTTCAATTCTCAACTTTTCAAAGTGAGTACTAAAGATGTAATAGGATATCTAAAAGAAGATGTCGATGTGGTCGATCAATTTATTGTTAAGGTATTTGACCCAATCAAAGCGAAGAGAGACCATGATAGTTACACAATCAGTAAAACTGCTATTTTCGGCAAATGCAGAAGAGCATATCTGTGTGAGAAGACAGCTTATGAAAAGCTAATAGCTAATCTCAAGTTTAACAGCATCTACATTGATCAGGAATGTGTTTTTGGTAAGTTCAATATCGGCGAGCACTACCACGCTTTGGGTCCATTTCTCATATTAAAGTATTTGGACAAAACCACATGTCCATTAGACGAGGAAACTTATAAAAAAGCTGAAGAACAATTAGAAATAATACACAGTAATCAGATAATACACGGGGACATTAATTTGAGAAATATTCTTTATTGCGATGGGAAAGTCTATTTTATCGATTTTGGGTATTCCAATTATGATGATAACGACGAAAAGCGCTCTAGGCCTGTAAGTGCTAATGAAGCCACCAGGAAAAGTGAACACAGAGAATTGTGCGAAGTATTTGGACAGCCTATTCCAGAAAAATATAGATATTAGAAGAATGATATACACTACAATTGGGTGCGATCTATACTCGCGTGTATTTGGAATGGCATAGAATATTGGGTTTAAGCGAGAAGGATGCAAGACCGCTTCAATTCATCTATAACCTGCAAGCCCATGATAACTGTTCCGCCCCATACTACAATGCAAACTGGTTTTTATTTACTTTTGTGAGTAACATGACGTCATGATACTTCCAAAAAAATAAACAGAGCAAGCTATAAAATATTGATAATTTTACATAATATGTTCCGCCGATCAATAGAAAGACTATGTATCATATTATTTAAATTAATAATGCACATGAAATTGTTGAGGCAATAGCGGTTTGCTTCTAACAAGTGAAATAGTCGCAATTAATTGTTCCTACAAAAATGCAACCAGTTGCGCATGCAGAGGCATCCAATATGTGGACCATAGATAGGTGTTCGAATAAACCAATCTATGCCTGAAAGCTATTTTAAACTAATCGAAGTTAGCACAGAAAGGCCTAAAATGCAACGTCATAAAAAGCGAATATAAAGAAACACTTCTAATTCTATTGTCATATGACATAATTTGCAATTTTCTGATATGTCGCACGCTACGTTTTGCAGGTTACGCTATCGTGCTATTTTGTCAATTTACTTATATAAAGTATAGTAGTTCCCTTAGAATTCAGCATATTAAAATTGCTTTATAAAATATCTGTCTTCTCCCATCGTCCGCATCAGCATCTTCCAGGTTATCAACTGCGATCTTACTAATCTCATTAAATCTTGGTAATACCAAGACTTTTTTCGTGATGTTCGCATTTCAATAACCCCACAAATGCAATTATTTTCTTGATGAACCTTGAAACAAGTATTTCTTTTATGCTAACTTTAATTAATTTGTTGTAAATTGAGGAAGTCCCACAAGAAAGAATAATGAGATTTTTTTTCACCTTTAATTTAATAAGCACGATGAATAACAACACATTTTCTAATAGTATTAGGATGTATATATTGGAAGGAGGCGGCGAAGACAAGGACATGGATATTGATGTTGATGCTGATATTGATCTGTTTGATATTACCAAATTCAACTATAGAAAATTATTTGATAAACGTGCCAATCAAAATATCAGCCATACAGAAATGGTGTTTAAATTTTTTGGAATTGAGAATATATCTGATTTGGATATGATCCCTCAAAAAAACAAATGGTATTTTGGCGATCATCCTGATGAGTGGAAAGAATTATTCATTTTTTTTTGTGTTATGCCGTTTACCGAATAAGAATTTGAAGGATCTGATGGTAGCTTGCTAAACCCTGACAACCTACTTAAGATGGGTCTGAGCCAGGCAATAGAAAATAATCTAATTGGGACTTCTTCTGATATAGAGTTTGAATCACTAAAGCACGAAATTTTGGAAGATAGGCTTGCTACTAATTTGCAATTTACATTGAAAACAGACCCATTCTCTAAAACTTTTAGCGAAGATCAAAGAAAAAGGTTAATAACCGGCTTACTTTTAGTTGGTTTTCAATCGAAGTATAAACTTGTCACAAATATTGGATACAATGCTGAAAGCACGTACAAAAACAATTTCATGAACTTCTTATTCAGACCCATATGCGAATATGTTGCTTCAATATTACGTTTTCAACCACAAGTAGAAGAAGATAATGCCATTGGCCAGACTGGAGTCCATACTAGGATACCACATCAGTCAAATGATCTATTATACTCTTATCCAGATATGGTGGCATATGCTAAAAACCTACACAATCAGTCATTGGCTTTAGTTGAGGTCAAAAAATTGCCCATTTTAAAAGGTAGAAAGTTATTACACTTTACAGATTTAAAAATAAGGAGATTTCTCAAGCAAGTTATTGCAGAAATGTTTTCAAACCATACAAACAAGGGCATTTTAACAGATTCATACACAACAATTTTAATCGAAGTGGATATCAAGAGAAGCTTGGAGATGATCAACGAAAATAAGGAATGTCGGAATGATGACAAGCCGGTAGCTCTAAACTATAAAATCTTAGATTGTCAATCATCAGGCATTGCGTTGAGAGGTGGCCTTCTTTCATACAACTTATTAATGAAAGCTTGATTCTTCTTCTGAAATTTGAACATGTTATTATAGATATATACTGGATGTTTTCATTGGAATATTGGACCTATATAAGTTTTATATGTGTCATAATGATAACTGTAGAACGTTGGTTGCCAACCATTGGAACGGTGTCATATCAGTTTTTTGTGATCCTTTTTCGCGCTGTGCTGCAAATAATATCATTTTCACATGCATTACGCGCACGCACACGATCCGAACGTCGACGACAGATGAGTTCTCCTTTTCTGAAAATATTCAACCCTGCATCTTTTGCAACAAAAATGGAAGCACACGGCATACGTATTGTTGAAATCGATGGAGTTTCTGTTGTAACACAGTGTACTTATGAAACCTATTGGAACCCTGACAATGTATGCGCAAATTGGAACCGTGACACTGCGAAAAAAAAAATAATCCATACAAAACTTTTTGCGTGACATTATCAGACTGGAACCGTGACACCAATTCATGTATTGAAGTTCAGTGTGTGATACTCACCTCATGTAGACTATTTACTATGGCGAATCGAGTCCTGTAAGAACCTCTTTCTAAGCTTGAATTTTTTGAATTTTCATTTTACGGAATTCTGCAAAAAATTGTCGTATATTATAAAATAATTGTAAAAATTTACAAACATTTGAACTAAAAAAAAACATCACGCTGGCTTGCCAAATTTACAGGTATTGTTGCAGGATATTTTTATATTTAAGATGCAAATACGAAGAATATTTAGCTACTAAGTTTGCTACACGATATTTATGAAAGCTAGTTTAAACTGGTCTCGCGGTCGAAAAATAAGGTCAATTCAACATCGTATACTGGAAGTGGTAGTAATCCTTCCTCTGAAGCGGTTTCTGATGAGATGAGCGCACAATCGCTCGCTACAAGTACAATAACGGAAGGTAGTACGTCGAAGGCGTCACAAAAATAGTAGTGCACATCCATAACAGAAACTGCTATTTTATTAGCGTCTTGTTCTGCTGAATGCTCTCTTAGAATTTATTGGAGAAGAGGTTTCAAATGCTAACCTTTGTTCCAAGTCAATATTCATTTTATTGAATACTTTCTCTATATGCATATCTCACGTAATTTATAATTTAGAATATAGATCAAGGAATAATATATTAGAGAAAAGGTATTCTAATAATTAGAAAGTGGCGCCAAGATGTACTGAGAATTATCAGTTCACCATATTATACTTCGACAATGCAATTTCTGAATATGTACCATCAACAGTTTCTAAATCTTTCAATTTTGAAAGTAAGGTAGTATTTAGTATTCTGCATATATTTCCTATTGAAGGGTTCTGGATCATGGTCTCATTATCGTTCCCTATTTAAATTCATTAATGACGTAATATAGCCTACAATTTCTCAGTTACTCGTTTAACAAACATTGCTACCTTACACCCGCGCAGGCGTGCGCCTTAACTATGGGAAAAAACCCCATTCCAAGTGCAGGGCATAGAACATTACTAGGATTTACAACCAAAGATAACGAGCTTAGTAAGATGGCAAACAATAAACAGGAGATATCGACATAGTGGGGGAGGTGGAGTTAATCATATGATAGAAAACAGATAGTTCCACTGATATGTTAACTTCTAGGGAGATTATTTTATTATATAATAACTTGTCCAAAAGACATGACGATACCAAGCTGCGTTGCAGTAGTGTCAAGTGACAAAATGTTTTTTTATGTCGTATTTTACAACGTTGCATAAATTTTACTGTGCGGTATCATAAACTTTGTCACTGTGATATTTAATTATGTAACCATTCTTATTATTACATAAGCGATACCAAGGAAGGGTAACCCCTTCGATGATTTAAGGGATAACAATAAACACCATATTCATATCTATAACATAATGCCGTGTATGTATTTTTCAGGAGTAGATAGTGATTTTATCACATACGATGACCCTGAGAATCGATGCATTAGGGTAAATCTTGATCTATTTATTAGGGTTCTCAATAACAATAAACAAAACACGAGAGTCTTTTTAGACACTCATTTGCTTAAGATTCGGGGTAATGAAGATGGGCAAGAACGACGTACAGAGAAACTAGTGTCTAAGGGTAATGCATCTGTGGGCCTAGGAAATATGCCTTCTATACCTATTCTTGTGTATACTAGCCGAGCATTAATTACAGCTGAATTTAGGGAGATGAGTAGTGATGATTTCAAGAATAAGTATCTTGCCCCTCTTGATAGTGCTCTTGAAGAATCGAATATTTGCCGTCTACCTTTAGCACGAGAATATGCTTATCCACTGGGAGATGCAATACATGTGGAACAAGCTATCCTAGAATACTTTGATCGAGAAATAGCACGAACAATCGATCATCTTTATCGTGATATTGGTGATATAACCAATCATTTTTGCAGTCCATCGTTTGTAAGCCCCCCACTAGATAGCAAAAGAAGGATACAGCCTGATATCATTCACATGTTGACTAAGTCGGATTTAAATACGCAATATCCCGAGATTGTTTTCGGGATAGGTGATTACAAAACAGGAGTCTATAAAATGATGCAAGGCTTCGAAGAATTCAAAACAGCTATTCTGAACCGAAGAAGATTGAGGCTGAATTCAACTGGGAAATTCTTTCCAGATAAGGAGTGGTCGCCTAGAGTACTATTTGCCTTGGTTCTAAGCAAATATATCTACGAAGCTTTTCTCTGTGGAACCAACAGGATACTTATTTCAGACCACCAAACATTCTCAGGATTCATCGAGTATGAAATAGTGGATGGCGAAATGATTATAGACTACTATATCATCAATGATCCAGAAACTGTGGAGGATGGTATTACTTTGAGGTCGGCCATAGCGGGATTTTTTTATAAAAGTGTTGGTGATGCAACTGATACAAAGGCCAGGTTGATGGAAANNTTTAGTGTTACCAGCAGCACCGACGTAAAAAGTATTAAAGAACTGGATCCATTTTTCAACGTTCGTCCTAGAGACNCATCTGGATCNTCGGGAAAATTGGATAGACCTGGATTCTCGGCCAACTTAGACTCGATAAGAGAAAGTGATGTCAGCGATAACTTTGATGCTATTGATGGTAACACATATTGTCGGGTTATATACGATCCCGCAGAATTTTATCCTGATTTGAAACTTCCATTGCCAGTTTTTGTCAAACTATACTACTACTCTAGTCGATTGTGGGAAGAGAATAGTTTGATGTGTTTGGAGATACCGGAAAAAGAGGGGTATTATGGCATGTTTTTCAACGAGCTTTTAATTAATGAAAGAATTGCTAAGTCAGAATACGCTTCTAATTTTCCAAAGCTCCTTGTTTCTGGTTATTGGAACGGGCTTCCCGATCATCCGATGCATATATTTGAATACCTTGGGAAGGAGGTACCAGAAGAAAAGTGGAATAACAAAGAAGTGTACAGAGTTATCAAGTCAAGACTCGAAGAGCTTCATCTGATAGGAATTTCGCATAATGATATTAGGATAGCCAACATTCATGTTTCTGTTTCTGGTAAGATATCTTTGATAGATTTTGGATTATCGGACTGCACAAATAATGAAGAACACAAGAAGAATGATTTTGAGACTCTTGACTACATATTGAGAACAAATGGTTCTAATGAAAGTTATAAGCATGC